TTTAGAAAGAATTTCCTCTGATGGATCTGTGCATGTGAAACTTCAGTTTGATATTCAAACCTAAGGGAGATCCATCCTTTCAATTTTTTAAAATTTCTTTTTGCTGTTAGTGGCAGTTTATAACTGATATCACCAGTTATACTTTTTCTTTTGGTAATAGTAAAACTCAATTTTTATTATGGATAACTTATATTTTGGGCTCTAGCACAGAAGACATGGAGGTAAAGTTCATATGTTTGATAGTTTTATTTTGACCAAAACCAGATCAGATGCCACAAATCTTTATTTTTTGAATTTAAATCAAGCTGAGGTGTTTCTGCTGGGATTTAGTTTCTATAAATAAATTATCAACTAAACCACCATGAAGTTGTCATTTCTCCTCTTACTGTTCTTCCTTACTATACAAAGGATACAAACATGCAGGAAATAAATACTGGTCTATAGGTGGTTTTGACTTTTCCATATTAATTTTGTAATCCTATTTCACTGTGTGTGTGGGGGAGAGAATACTAAGTATCCCCATGAAATGTGATAGTTATTTGCCTTTAGCTTCTCATGAAGTACACCACACTTAAAAGATTGGAAGTGAGAAGATTAAAATAAGCATCTTGGAATGCAGATGAAATCTGTTGCAAGAAGGCAACTTGCATTACTTTATTTTCTTAGTGTGTATGTGTGTATAAGCTAAAATAACTGATGTTATTAAACAGGAGAGTTCATTTTTTTTCTGTATTTTGGAGCACTTTGTCATTTTTTATTATATCAGTTCTCTAGGATGCCTAGAAACAAGAATATGGCTATTGTAATAATAATGAAAAAATAATTGGGGGAAAAAAAAATCATTGGATGATTTTCTAACTTGAAGTGGGAAAATGAAGATTTAAGAAAGAATGTCATAGAGTTACTGTTGGCTAGACAGACAGTCTTCTGGTTCCTTGTAGCCAAGCCACTTCTGAATGCTGAAACTTCCTTCTTAACAGTTCCCACATCCTGACTTTGCTTTCATGTCATATATACTTATTTATTTTCTCATTCTAATTTGTCCTCAAACTGTCCTTATCTCTTAAAAACAACTGGTCAGTATTAGACTTTAGGAAGACACACTGAAGGCTACAAATGAAATGAAGTATACTTGGGTTAGGAGGGGGGATGTTTTTGTAGTATGTTTTGTCTTGAGCAAATGTGATATGTTTCTGACTCAGCTTCTTTCCACTGCGAATACTTTGATCTCTGTTTTTTTGTAGGTTCTCTAATGGCTAATGATAGAAGAGGGCAGGCTGACATTCTCTTAATAATTGCATACATAAATGGAAAATTAGTTTTTTCTTCTTTTTTTCCTGTGCCAGGAAGTAAAAGTTTCAATTGCACCATTGTATAATTCCTGCTCTACAGACTCCCATGAACTTATCTTTGCTGATCTGCCTGAAATCAGAGGGATCAGTTTCTTTCTAATGAAAAGGAAACTGCAAGCATGGGTGCCATCAGTGTTCCTGTGGCTTAAAAATATTTTTTTCCTTCTATGAAAGCTAGCAATTTTCTTATATAGTCTGCTTTTTAAATTACCTGTCAAACCTCCACGTGTGACTCACATATCCCAGAATGTCCTGTAGCAAATATTTAATTGTCATAGAATAATTCACTTTCTGGGTTGGTGTATAGTCCTCTTGAGTAAGGTATTCTGGAAGGGCTCAAAATCTCTCATTTGGAAATTATTCCCATCATTTAGATCTGCAATGATTAGATGTTTGGTCAAGTTGTATATCCGAAGCTCAGCTGAAGGTTACGTGTGGAATAAGTAGTAGTTCAAAGGGAAATACCAAATCCTCTGCATGGGGAAGGACAGCCCCAGGTGCCAGTTGCCCAGCTGGCAATTAGCCTGATCAAGAAGGCCTCCTAATGGTGTCCTAATGAGCACCAAGTTGAATACAAACCAGCAGTGCTCCCTTGCCACTAAGAAGGTTAATAATATCCTGGACTGCATTGGGCACAGTATTGCTATCAGGTCAAGGGAAGTGACCCTTCCCTTGTACTTAGCACCTGTAAAGCTATATTTTCAGTTCTGGACTCCTGGACTCCCCAGTACAAGAGACAGCTGGACGTAATGGAAAGAGTCCAGTGAGTAGCACCTGAGATGGTAGAGGCAATGGAGCACCTCTCCTTTGAAGGAAACAGCTTCTGTGTGAGAGAGCTTGGGAGCTTTCAACCTGCAAGAGAGGATTGGAGGGGGGACATCATCAGTCTTTACAGTGGTGTCCAGTGATGGGAAAGTAGGCAATGGACACAAACTGGAAGTTTCCCACAGAGGTTCCTTCTTGCCGTCAGGGAAGTGCTTTGTTACTGGGGTGGGTGATGGAGCACTGGCACAGGTTACCAAGAGGCTATGGAGTCTCCTCCTTGGAGGTAATTGGAAGCTATGTGGTCCTGGGCAGAATGCTCTGGGTGTCCTTGTTTGAGCAGGGGTTGGGCCAGATGGACCCAGAAGCCCCTTCCAATCTTGGCTATTTCTGCCCAGAAAGCTCAAATGAAGTTGGCTTTGTTGTAGCTTGTTTGAATTACATCAGCTGAAGAAGCTGTGCTTTACAGAACCACAGAATGGTTGGAAGCTGAACTTTTTCTCCCTCTTATTTAGGGAAAGGAAGAAAAAGTAGGATTAATGTGTAAGGATAGTTGTTTATGAGCTGTGCAAATGTGATTATTCAGAGAGGTGATTATTTTTAAGCTTAATCTCAGTAGCATATTCTAAAAAGTCATGAAAGTTCAGCTCCACAGGAAACTGCATTTCCTTTGAAAAATTTGCCTCCGTACCCACGTTACGAGGAAAAACATTAAAACAAATGTGTGCAAAACTCCTCAAATGACTTGTAAGCATGAAAGTAGGTGGAATCTAGGCAAGCAAGTTGAATGATCATGCTTTGTTTTATTTCTGCTACCTACAGTGTGCTGTTCTACCAAAGACTAATGAGTGGCATCTATGATGGTTGTTTGTAGCCTGACATCAGAAGCAGCTTTTGGTTAACTACAGAGCTGTAGAAGACTGCTTATGATCAAGAAAACTACTTGTTCTCTAAGGAACACTGATTTCTGCTATTGGAGATGCTTTGTTTTACTCAGATTTAGTTAAGTTCCTTGACTTTGTACATATGGATTTGTGGACATTTTAGATACGTTTATGACCTGAGGATAACTATTTCCTATTATTTTATTTCAAGCCTAATGACCTCAGGTCTGAAAATTGGGTTTTAAGTCAATCAAGATTGAAAGAGAAGATCTTCAAAGCTTACCCTCTGTAAGCAGGAGCTTCTGTATTCTGCAGGACTGACAGTGTCTCAGACTGTACCTTAACATTAACAAGCTGTCATAAATACATTTATCTGCTTGATGTATGCAAGAATGTTGTTTTATAAGAAACTTTTCTTACATGTAGTACACCTGCTCACATAATCAAGATATACATGTATCAGCCTCTTTGGAGGAAATGCCCTGGGCCTTAATTGTGATGACTTGGAGGAAAATATTTCATGTGAAGTTGTCTGCTTTAGTTCTTTGAAAGTGATGGGAAGTTTAGTATCCTGATGCTTTTCAGAGAGGTCTGAAAGATTGTTCCAATTTTGTTCTTTCAGTTGCTGATAATGAGGATTGCTGATGCAAAATGCTACTGTACTTTAAATACTGTTAGAGTGCTGTTAGTCTAATTGTTCCCATGTTTTGTTACTGTAGACTAGAAGTAAATACATTAATGAGTAAAGGTAGGGCAGAAAATACATTATAGCTACTGCAGAGAACCATTATATGGGTAAAGCTTTATTTTGCATAGAATCAAACTGTTCTCACTAGACGTCACTGAGACTTTTAATTTAGCTTGTTAATAAGTTCGTGCCTTTGCCTCTAGCATATTTTGGTCTGGCTGTTAGAATAAATATTGCAGCTGTTTATTTCACTGATGTCTAGTGTGCCTCCTTTGTGGAATGGCAAGGCGCCTGTGCTATGCACGTTTGGCTCATCTTGGTTTTGAGGGTCTGTATTTTTGGAAAAGAGTTTTTGCTTTTACTTCCTGTCTTAATACGCTTTTTCTTTCTTTTTTTTTTTAATCTTCTTGGGCAAAGTGAAGGAGTATCAACATCTTTGTTGGTTGTGTGAAGCTGCTGTTGGGAGTAATGCTGAAAAGAAAGTAAAGGAAAGTGGAGTTTGACATTTAATGTTTCAGGCTGAAAATATCTGGAGCGTTGCAAAGAAACTAGCTGTGTGTACTTTAGTTTTCAGGTTTCTGAAACAAATAGATGGACCCTGTGAGTGAATAGCTGAACTGGTTAGCGTAGTAAGAATTAAAGAAATCATGTAGATTGTTCTTTGAAAACAAGCTACAAACACATTCTATAGTGATTTTGCTGAGAAGGCAAATCACATGCAGTGAAAATAAATGTGGTAGTTTTACTAGCAGAAGAGAGACTGGGTAAAATTACCTGCACGAGCACCTACATCATGCAACTGTTTTTAAAACTCTGTCAGTAAAGCTAAGCAAACCTCTGGAGTTTTAATATATGTGTACAGTTAATTGTAGATGCTCTTTTTAACTACTTCATCAATACGCTGATACTCTCTTGCTGGTGTCTGTATCTTATTTGTGTGTGATTTGCTAGGGACATGAACTGGATATGTCTATGTGACAGAAATTTCCCAAAAGGAATTGCTTGCAATATTATTTGTGTCTACCCAATTTCCATAACATTTCTGTCCTAGCTGTAGCAGTGTTCCTTAGGAAGATACATCTCGACTATGATTTAAATATTTGTTTTCCTTCACAGGGTGTTTAAATAAAAAATTTTCTTTTCCAAGCCGTGTTTCTGCACTCACTCTTCATGGTGATCTTTAATTGTGGCTGGAACGTTTGCTATGCCAACAAAAGAACAAGAACAGTGCAGTCGTACCAACCTTCCTTGAGCAATCTCTTTTTAGTAAAGGTTTTTCAGAGACAGTATTTATTCTCTTGTTTTTTCTTATAGCAAATTCTGAAATTGAGGTGTCTGTGTCAGCAAGAAATGTGAGAAGGTTGCTTAGTTTCCAGCGCTACCTGAGATCTTCCCGTTTTTTCCGTGGTATCACTGTTCCAAATTCTTCAAACATTTTAGATGATGATTATAATGGACAAGCAAAGGTTGGTTGCTTAATTTCATTTTTATCTCCGTTTTATCAAGTATGCTTCTTTATGTTTACTCACATATAAATATCTTTTGTTAAGAGGCAGTGCAAGTAAATACAGGTTTTAAGCATGTGTTTTCATATGTGTGTGTATGTGTGCATTTATATGTGTATACCTTTATAAAATCCAGCCAAAATTCTGTGACTTCTGACAAACTCTTTCACCTCTTCCAAGCTTAGTGGGATAATTTTTAGAGCTTATATACTTTTGTGGCTTGCAGATTTTTGAATGGCAAATAAAGGCTACACTGTGATAATTAAAGAAAAAGTGAAGAAAAGAAATTGTAACTGTGTTTAGCAAATGGAGTAGAGCAATTTGGACAACCTCTTACCCTCCCTCTCCTTTTCCTTTTAAATCTAATTTCATTAGTGATCATCTGAGGGAGTGACTAGCTACTACTGAAAGCTCAATAGAATGTATTAATTTGTCAGAAGATGATTATGCCAAAATGATATTTTTATATGCAGTTCTTCCAGAAAAGTGTGATAGCTGTAATGTACTTGTGCTATACTAGAGCTAACTGGTAAGGCAGGCGATAGTAAATAATTGTTAGTTGGGTGAAGGGTTAGTGAATTTGGAAACAGGAGAGATGTAGTGCTGACAGGGAATGAGTAGGCAAAGTTTATAGGTTGTTAAGAGCCCAAAGGCTGTGTCTTGCCACTGATAGTATATAATGCTTTTTATTAATAACCTTTATGCACAAGAGGAATATCCTTGTAATACAGTGTGCTGATACTGAATGGGATCAGGCTGCAGTGTAGGAAGAATCTGATAACCTTAAGGATGGATTTAAAGAATACACGTGTAATTTGACAGCAGAAAGATCTTGCTAATGTTGTGTATTTCTTCTGGTAACTCAGTTTTAGTGGTTGGTAGAGAAAAGCTAGCATGTAGTACCAGGATCACAACTGCAGGTTTAATGAGAATCTGAGAGAACAGGTGTCTACTGTAAGACGTGCTGGGCAGGTAATTCTAATGGAAGTAGGGTACCAAAGGTGGTGACCTAAACTCTGAAGCCTTGAAAATGCTGTGTTATTGTCCATCTGTGTTCATGAAAGAATGTATAGCAGCTGTGAAGTGGTAGTCCAGTGAGTGTAAAGTGAAAAGATGGTTTCTAATGAAGAAATGACAAGCTTTTCTTGTTTTCTTAGGAAAAAATCTAGGTAGTATTTTCCCTATTTAAACAAAAAGGGAAAGTGAGAAATTAAAGGACTACTTACAGATTATTACTTTGTTGCAAAACTTGAAGTGGAAGATCTGGAAGAGATCTTGAGACGAAAGGTTGGAAGTCATCTGACAGAGTTTTGTGATCAATACATTTGTTAAGATGATTGCATGAAATGTCAAGCGTGGGCCTCTTAAAGTATCTCAATTTTATTTTCCAAGTTTGAACAGTTATTTTGTCGTGCTGCTGCTGCTTCTAACCTAATTGTTTTAAATTGTCATACTACTTTTATGAAAATGATTAGAGGATGAAGGGGAAATCTCAAATTTTACTGTCAAGATGCTTCTCAAATTTCAGTCTTTTAATTTGAAGCATATATTTTCAAGTTTTCCAATTTTCAGACAAACTGAATCTTTACGTTACTGTTTTTGTGTGTAGAAATCTAGAGACTGATGCAAGCCCTTAAAAGCTTAAATGCTCCTCTGGCATATAGGAACATAGCCACATACTGAGGGGGAAAAAGAATTAAAACTATTGTGTTTTCTTTCAGTGTATGTTGGAGAAGGTTGGAAACTGGAATTTTGATATCTTTCTTTTTGATAGACTGACAAATGGTGAGTTTGCTTTTTTCTTTTCTCTTGTCTTTTTATCTCCTAGTATAACTTAGCTGTTGCTCTTACATTGTGGTATGTGCTAGCTGGTTAACTAAAAAGCAAAGATTTTGTCAGGTAGAACTTTTTGATTTAACAGTCTTCAATCTGAATTCCGATTTGCCATGCCACACTGTTAAAATGCCATTAATGTCAGTACTGATAATAATCACTGATTTATAGAAGATGCCCTTGTACTTTATAGGTGGTATTCTTTCTCTCTTTTTTTTACTGTAAGTAGTATTTAATATAAATTGATAATCTTGCTCATTTAATTTATTTTTTAATCGTGGAATGGTGTTAATTTAAACATCTGTGTGCAAATGGTCAGTTGCAGTGAATGATTACTTTTCTGGATAAATTGAATTTTGGATTGAACAGTTGTGTTGGTATTACTTTACAGCACAATAAAAAGGCAAAATAGTATGAACACATTGTAATTGCAACATCTGGTAGAATACCTAGAGAATTAGGAAGTGAGCAGACATAAACTGCTGGATATATAGTTTACACAAAATACAAAAGGAGAAAAGATTATGGTTTTGCCATACCCATTACAAGTGGCAGTAGGAAAGAGTTGGTTAAAAAATAAATCAAATGAAGTATTGTGAAGCTATGGACAGTCAGTTGGAAAAGAGATCTGTAAACGTGCTGGAAAGGAGGTGGACTGCTGTAGTGGATAGAGAGAATGCTTGTATTTTAATATGGAGCAATGGAAAGAAGGAGATGGGTGAGTCCAAGGAAACTGGCACTTGTGCCAGTGGAAAGCTCCTGGAGCCTGGACTGTGAGCAGCTGATGCTATTTTTCCATCAGTCTGATGGGATTGTTAGCAGAGATACAGTTAGTGTGTTTACAATTTGGCAGGAAGACAGAAACTTAAGTTCAAAAAGCAAAATACGGCACCCCGTTGCTATTTTGTTAAAAGCATGCTTGACTTAAATGCTGTACCTAGACTAAAAGTAGTATCCTCACATTTTGATATAAAGCGAAACATGAATATAAAAAATGGAAACAGTGGGGATTCTTACAAAGATAATGCTTATATGGATAATCGTAAACTCTAACTCAGAAAGCAGTTTGTGTGAGGTAACTTGTTTGTAAACATAGTTTATTAAAGATTAGTGTAGCAGAAGGCGAGTAATCTGAAGTCCTCTTTTTGATACAGAGTCTTCTCTGTCATAAGTGTGCATTTTGTTCAGATGTACTTCCAGTATACTGTGCAGCTTCTCTTGTGAAGCCTTTCTGAACCATCCTCTTTGCATCCTAATTTTGTTGTTTAGGAGCATGTTTGGAACAGTGATGTTCTTAAGGGTAGAATGTACAACATTGCTGTACATGCACCTTCACCTGGTGAGCTGCCCTGGGCAAACCTGTAAAAAAAAAAAATGAGTTGCTCAGTAAATGCTGTTTAAAGAACTAAAGAACTGTGTATCTTATGGAGAGGAAGTGGCAGGCACCCCTAAAGGATAAGTTAGATTTAGCAGAATTGTTTGTCCTTTTGTATCTCAGTTTCTGCCTGTGCTAGATTATCTGATTCCTGCTAATTGAGATTGTCAGAGTAAATGTACCAACCCTGAGTAATCCTTCACTACGTACTGTTTGCAGAGTAAATAATTTGCAAGCTATTTCAGGTGAACAGTAAACATGCAGCTATTTCTTTGGCTTTTACAGCTTTGTTTGTTTTATCACTGTACGTGGTTGCAATATTATTGCTGTGAGCAGGTAAAACGTATTACAAGCTTTTAATGGTATACATTTCCTAGAGAAATGTAAAGCTTTTTATTAGATTTCTGGCTGAAATAAGAAATAATTTAACACATACAAAAAAGATGAAAATGTACGACAGCGTATGTGCAACGTACACAAATTGACATGATTGAGCTTTTTGTTTTTCTGATGGTTTCTGTATTCCTTTTTGAGCTGTGTGTAGGTCTATAAAAATAATGATGCAACATACCACGAAGTTGAATACTGTTGTAATGGATTTGAACGTTGAAACTTGCTTTTTTAATGTTGGTAACATTTTACTCCTGTCGTTTGGCAGTTAACAATGTTGGCAGTCACTAGAGGAGTCAGCTAATGGAATCTTGTCATGCAAGAAGATTTAAGTATTTATCATGGTGTAGAGAAATTTGCTTGTGTAATTTTTGTGTCCAATTTGTTTGAAATACGTTTCTTGTGAAAGTCACTGATTTCATGACTTCCAATGAATTAGTATTTTCATCTTATTTTTAGGAAACAGTCTAGTCAGCTTAACCTTTCATCTGTTTAATCTTCATGGACTAATTGAACACTTCCAGTTAGATACGATGAAACTCCGTAGATTTTTGGGTAAATACAGCTTTTTATTATGATGAATATTGCTGTTTATCCGAATTTTTATGCCTTAACTAAAGTGCTGGTTGTAGTTCAGCAATAAGGTTTGAAGAGTGCCAACCCTGTCCAGATTGTACAGTAATTTTAACTGTATCAATTGAGAGAAAATCTCAAGTTTCTGTGAGTATAGACGTCTCCGTGTTAAAACCAAGCAAGTATTGCTATGTTTATGGCAGATGCTATATTGTTTTTATTAAATCTAAATTTCAGGAATGAATGTGAATTCATTCACGTGATGATTCTATTGAAAAAGATAGACTGCTCCTTTATTTGGTGCAATTTTCATTTCTTTTTAGCTTTTGTTTCTGAAATTTTCCATATAATTTTATAATAATGCTGATCATACTGTGTTGGCCAATTTGATGCCATGTCTTGCTTGCTGAAGCTCTCATACAAGTACTCACTGTGCTGTAGGTGTACTGTCTCCATAAACAGGGCACGAGACTTTAACTGGGCTGTGTGTGCCTGTGGCACTGGAAAGCTTCAATGGGAAGAGCTGTAGATACAACATGGAGCATTCAAACCAAGTGGGTACTTCCACTTGTCAGCTGAAGGAGCTGCATCCCTGTGCCCCAGACCCCGGTGTGAGGCTTCCATCATTCATTCATTTCTTCTATGATGGCACCTTTTATTTAATTCTGTGGAATGGGATGCTGATTTCTAACTGAGCAGGAGGAAGAGGTTTCTGATCCCTCTTAGCAGGGTTTCTCAGTTTCAGAGAAAGCAGTTTTGTGGTTCTGAAGCTTATCATTTAAAAGGGAAGACAACCACATTCAGTAGGCTTTTCTCCACTTTCAAATAAGGGAATGTTTTTGTTTTCATCATTGAATTCTCTTTCTACTTGAGAATTTGTATCTGTTCTGTCATGAGTTTAATCTTTAAAAAGGAACTCAACTCCTTCCAGTATTAAAAAGGCACAGAAGCTGACTTTCAGGACTGGTATAGATGTGTGCAGAAAGCAGTTAAAGGAAATCTGATTTTGAGCTGTTGAAGTTGTAACTGAGCGTTTTTGGTTGTCACCTTGCTTATCCTCTGGCTAGTGGAGATTTATCAAAGGAGTATTTAACTTGAAATGGAACTCCAGTTAGGAATAACTGGATTAGTTAATCAGAATTCAAAACTGTAAGCCACTAAAATGGTGTTAGACTGTGGGAGAAGGCAACATTTTATTCTAACACTGAAATCAATCATCATTTTCTTATTGCCTTCTACTTAACAGCAGGAACAAAACATTTCTTAGCTCTGCCCCAGCCTATCTGTTGAATCAAGGAGCATTTTTGCAAGTAATGCTTCTTGGCATTAAGTCTTTCTTTTCTTTTGTTGTCCTTTATACCCTAGGTCGTAGTAATCTGAAGATAAAATTTCAGATGACTGATACTTCATGTATTCCCCAGTACCCCACAGAATCCATCTTGTTTGAGAACTTATTAGAATCTTTTATTTTTTAAGAAGAAGAGAAATCTGGTTTTAGTCCTTAGTGGAACCTTAATTTTTTATTTTGTGTGTGTATAAGTACATATATGTATACATACATAAACACACACATGTGCTTATATGCACACACAGTCTTTCTGTGATTTCAAAAGGTTATCTGGAGATTGACCAGCTCCTCTTGTATGCTTTCAATTTCTTATTCCACATTCAAAGAGAGAGAAAATACAAGGTACTGCATTTTGCCAAAGCACAAGGCAAACAGTGTTCAAAATACTGTCCTTGTTCTACTTATTTTAATAAAGTTAGAAGTATTCTAGACTTTGAGTATGTGGACCAGCTTATGAAACCTTAAAAACAGAGGATTAAATGATGGGCGTCTTCGCTCATGCAGTAGACATAAGGAATATGTGAAAGTGAGTTCTACCTCAGGTTAACAGAGCCCAGAGATGCTTATTTTCTGTATTATTGTCCATATGAGGTTTCAGCAGTGTGCCGAATGCCAGCAAAATTACACAGTGGTTACAGTTTTTTGGCTTTTCATAAGCCACAAATCTTCACAAATACTATGCATTGCTCTAACATTACAGTCACAATCACGTGGAGGGTGCTGGCATGTAAACTGAGTAGGAAGAGATGTTTGGATGGGAATGACAGAGTGTAGTCAGCCAGGAAAGTGTTCTTTCTGAGGTTGGCTTGGATGAACTAATGTGTCATCAGGCAAGACTTTGCAATTTGAAGTATAGTTTGATTGCTGCTCTTTAGATCTTCTCTCTATCCTTTTAAATGTTATAGTTCTTCTACTCTTTGTATTCAAGCTAATGTGGATATCCTTTAAAATGTTGTACTTATGTTCAAAGACAGTCAGGAAGATGGAGGAGAAAAACAAGGAAGAAAATAAGCAGGAAATATTAATCTTAGATGATGGCCTGACTAGCCACTGCTAATGAGATTCCTTTCTAAATTGTATATAGGCTTAAAATTCCCTAAGTACACAAGTACTAGAAAATGCCCTAGAAGTGGCTTCTCATGACCACTGTAGGAAAAGGAAAGAAAAGCAGTTGCTATGACAGTAAAACACTGCCTACTTCCTCTGATTTGTCTGTTTTTAAGGCATGATGTTTAGTCATCCCAATGCTTTGGTTCATCTTCATTTTGTATTCTAGGTTGCCTCAACACTCAAGTGGGCTAGGTTTTCAAAGGGAAACTTCCTTGGAAGTCAGAGCATCTCAGATAATATATTGATTTCAAGTTGTATAATTCTTTCTCTGAGATGGCTTTACATGTAGCTCATTTGTTGTGGAAAAGTTTCCTCACATAAAAATCTTTTATACTTGGTTTTGGTTCAAGTGACAATTTACTGACTTTGACACTTTTATGTGTGTGTAACTTGTGATGTTGCATATTTCTGTGTCTAACAAGGAGATGTAAAATGATGCATGAAAAAATTGCTGTTTTATTTAAATTTAGATATTTGTTATTTTCCTGCAGTTATGGTTCAAGAAGATTATCACAGTCAAAACCCTTATCATAATGCAGTTCATGCTGCTGATGTGACTCAGGCCATGCACTGTTACTTAAAAGAGCCTAAGGTAAGGAAGCATTCTCAATTATACATACAGAAATACATGCATTTAATCATAGAATCATAGAATTGCTCAGGACCTTAAAAATCATCAAGTCCAACCACAACCTACCCATACTACCCTAACTCTAACAGCCCTCCACTAAATCATGTCCCTGAGCACCACGTCCAAATGGTTTTTAAACACATCCAGGGATGGTGACTCAACCACCTCCCAGGAGAGCCTATTCCAGTGCTTAACAACCCTTTCTGTCAAGAAGTGTTTCCTGATATCCAACCTAAACTTACCCTGGTGCAACTCGAGGCCATTTCCCCTCATCCTGTCACCAGTGAGAAGAGACCAACCCCACTCCCTCTGTAAGCACTTTTCAGGTATTGGAAGAGAGCAATAAGGTCTCCCCTAAGCCTCATTTTCCCCAGACTGAACAGCCCCAGTTCCTTCAGTCTCTCCTTGTAGGACATATTCTCCAAGTCCTTCACAAGCCTTGTTTCCCTTCTTTGGACCTGCTCCAGCACCTCAATGTCCTTTCTGTACTGAGATATTAAGATGCCCAAAACTGAACACAGTGTATTGTGTGCACATACAGTTTTTACTATAAAAGCAAAAAAGAAAAAAAACAAGCCCCCCAAAAAACAAAGCAAACAGCCTCCTTTCCCCAAACTCACCTTTTTTATCACAACAAGAAGCAGAGCTGATACCCAGTGTGCCTTTAGTAAGGCACACAGTTTAGCAACTCTGAGCGTTTTTTAGTGTAATGCTGTTGATGAATGTTTTGTAATGCTTCAGATAGAAGTATGGAATTGGCATTGTTAGTAACATATACAGTTACTGGTTCTGCTGCACCAAGATGATAGAGGTGAGGCGTAATAGGTGGTAAATGCAGAAGGGCATAGAACCTCCAGTCATTGCAAGAGAGTTGCAGCTTTTCACTTTTGTACCTGCAATACTGTCCTCTGTTTTAGTGCAAATTAGGCTTTCCTCCTGTGTTTAAGTGTTAAACAAAAAAAAATGGAGACTGAGTAGAATATTGATTTCACATTATTTAGCTTTTCTTTGAATTCCTGTTGGGTTTGAACTACTGAAAAAGAAGACCATAAATGTGATGCTGGTGCAGCTATGCTATGGCCACGCTTGTATTGCTGACAGGATTCTGTTTGTTATTACCTTACAGCTGTCCGAATCCTTAACTCCGTGGGATGTTCTGCTCAGTTTAATTGCAGCTGCCACACACGATTTGGATCACCCAGGCGTTAACCAACCTTTCCTAATTAAAACAAACCATTACTTAGCAACTTTGTATAAGGTAAGGAGAAAATTAGTTGCTTTGTTGAAATCGGGTTCGGAGAATTCTGAAGGAGAACAGAAGAAGAATATAAATTGCGGTGTCTTCAGCTTGTTGTAGGTGTGAATTGAAAGACTATTTCCATGCCCCTGGGATAAAACTGTGAGCTGATGAAGTATTCAGGATGTGAGAGACTTGGTTCTCTCTATAAGCAAACAAACAGAAGCCCCCTGTGCAGTACAGCTGTTAGTGTAAGGCATTCAATTACAAAAAAGTCACTGAAACCTGTAATATCACTGTCATTTACAGAATACCTCAGTATTGGAGAACCATCACTGGCGATCAGCAGTGGGGTTGCTGAGAGAGTCTGGTTTATTTGCACATATGTCATTAGAAAACAGGTATGTTTATACAAAGTAATTTATCTTAGTTTAAGGTGCAAGTAAGCTGTATCTGAATAAGGAGAGCATTACTAAACAAGCAAAATTATTGCATGGCAGTTCATTACCTAAATTTGGTATCTGGACCTATTTAATAATTCCTGGATACCTTGCTGCTGGAATAGAGCAGTGCAATGTAGTGCTTGGAAAACAACATTCAGTGTGAGCACACTGAAGAGGTATAGTCAAGCACCTGGTTATGTTAAACCTCTCGTTCTGTCACTGCAATTGTAGTTTAGCATAGAACCTTCTTACCCATGTTAACAATCAGTACACTTTGAACAATTAATTTGTGTGTATTTGGGGAAAAACAAACAAACAATCCAAATCTGTTAGTTCTGAAAGCTGCCAATGAAATGTCCCAATATTTGTTTGGAAGTGGCAGGAAAAACAAAAGAAGAAACTGCTATGAAAATGCTGATCAGTAAGCTTGTGACTTGCATCTGCATAATAATGAATATGATTAAAAAAATCCCACCCACAACCAATGTGAATTTAGTGATAGCTATTGTTCTTTGTTATCCTCTCTGAATATTTGGTACCACTAATTTCAGGCAGCTGATGGAAAGCCAGATCGGTGATCTCATTCTTGCCACAGACATCAGTCAGCAAAATGAGTATCTGTCCATGTTCCGATCCCACCTGGATAGAGGAGACCTATGTTTAGAGGATGCGAACCACCGTCACTTCATTTTACAGGTGATTTTTTTGTTATATTTTTTGAAAACATGATTTTAACTTCAAAAATAATTGACCGTGCTAAATACTACTACTTCTAGGCTATGTTAAAAATGAAATAAATACCTTCAGTTGTTTTGTTTCACTAAAAAAAGGTTGTTCCCTCCCTCCCTCCTAGCATGTAGCACGTAGAGATATCGCATGCTGGTAATCTGAAAACTTAGAGATGTTAAGACAAGGGGAGATGCACTTCTGAGAACTAGATTTTGCTTTCTGATGACTCCAGCACAGTCTCAGAACTGTGAAATGCTTTGTTAGAACACATTTCAGCAAAGAAAAAAAAAAGTACAACTAAATGAATCAGCTTCATAGCTTCAGCTTCATAGATATATGTATCATTAGGTCTGTTCTGTGGACTGCAAAAGAAAATGGACAAACAGATGAGTAGTTCTGTCCTTTGCATACCATTACAGAAGATGTAAACTTAAGAGGTAGAAACACAAAATACTGTTTGCTTACGCTGACGCTTCTGAGTTTGTTGCTGCCTCCTTTATTAGTACATATGCTAAAGGTAATGCCCTTGAAATGCTTTGACTTGCCTTAATTTTGGTATTGCTCAGAGATGATCACAAGATCTAATTGTTTCCCGAGTGTTTAAGTGTGATTGTAGAATGCAACTAGAGAGAAGCACAAATGACAGGTAGGTTTGTTGTTCTCAAAATGTCAGGGAATAGGTAACTGAAGATACTGTTGGAAGGAAAGGGGTCAGTTGGGTGGCCTAATGCTGTATATTAACTTTCTAGATGGCTTTGAAGTGTGCTGATATTTGTAATCCGTGTCGGACTTGGGAGCTGAGTAAGCAGTGGAGCGAAAAAGTAACAGAGGAGTTCTTCCATCAAGGCAAGTGAGAGTATGGATAGCAGATGATGTATTTATAGTGGGGAGAAGGCAATCATGAGTCATAGCTGCATGCAAATAAATAATGACTTATATTTATGACTAATACAGACCTACAGTACAGTGTGGGATTTTTTTCTATACTGGTGCTGTTTCTTGGAAAAGCTGGGTGCTACTGACACCTGGTGAAAACCACTTTAGAATTCTGAATGCAGAATGGCAGGTTCAATAGATCCTCCATCCTGAAAGGTGCATCAGATGAATAATCATGTTCAGTTTATGTGTTCCTGCTGCTTTCAGTAAGTTAGGAAATATATTCTTGCCAGATCTTACATATTAAAAATTTTTCTGGCAATGAGGGTCTGTTGGTGAGCAGGAAGAAGCTAGGAAGGAGATTCTGATAAATCGGTAGCCTTAACTACGTGGACAACATCTGATGAAGCTTTTAATTGACAAATGGAAGACATGAGTTTTGCCCACTATTACTGAGTTCTTTTTATAATAAAGAACCTGTGGTTCTCCTTTTTCAAGGCTGGTTTACCTTGATTTGAGAAATGCTAATGTGCACGGCTATGAAAAATGGAGAGCTGACTTCTTGAGTGCTAAGCATGTGGAACTCAGTGTCAGAGGAAGATGTGTGGAAGTGTAACAGCAAATTGCCCTTAGTGAGAAATTCCTGAAGGCCAAACTGTTGTCTTCTGTGTAGCAAAGTGGGATGAGGAGGTCTTAATTTGTCATTTCTACAGCAGCCTGGGAGTTTTTGCAAGGAAGTATGTTCAGGAACCCATTGATTTGATGCTTTTCATTTGTTACTGCTTGTGTGACTGAAAAAAAAATAATCCAAAACCCATGTTATTGGACCTGTTGACTTAACCTGTTATATTATACTTCTGTTTCTTTAGGAGATATTGAAAAAAAATATCACTTGGGTGTGAGTCCACTTTGTGACCGACAGACAGAGACCATTGCCAACATCCAGATTGGTAACTGCATTTCTGTGTATTTCAGTAGATCCCATTCTGAATGTATATTGGAGAAAATACCATATCCATACATTTGCTGGAAGCTCTGCCTGGTCTGTCTGTGTGGCACTTCAAAGGAGGATTCCAGCTGTCTGGATTTAGCTTTCTGGAATGTTAGCAGTCAGTTTAAATACAGCCTTAGTAAGGGCAGTAGATACATCTCTGATAGAGAACCACAGAGACATGATATTACTTACTGCTAACTCGAGTTAGATTTAAAATAGCAGAAGGGATGACTTGTTTATTAAGTAGTTCATGTAGATTGAATAGGAATCTTCAAATCTTGCCAAGAGTAATATATTTAGCCATAACTGTACTATGAGTTGGTGTTTGAAATTAGAGATTGAGAAGATTCTCATCTGTTCAGTCAGCTGCAAGTCTAATTTAGAATGTTGGAAAAATCGTATGTTTTTGTAATTTACAGATGGAAGCACAACTTTAGTAGTCTTACACTTGTTTATGTGAATAGGTACTGCAAATAGGTGCAGCAAAAATATAAATTATGGAATGGTTTATGGTCAGATTGGCTTAGAATGAATTAAATGTATGTTGTTGTTTTGTATCCTTTCCAGGTAAAGATTGTTTCTGATTGTGCTTTCCAGTATTTCTAATCAGGTTTATATTGTGATAAGAATCAGCTTTTTTTTAATTCTTTCCACCCATGTTTAGATCATTTATGAGGTAATTTGTTAGAAAAACTAAATTTCTAAAAGATTTATTGTGTAGTTTATGTGATTTAGTTATTGTTTAGATAACTAAGATTTAGATTCTCTCTCCCTGTTCTCCAATATTTTCCTGTATTTGCTTGCTGTTCTGGAAAAAAAAAATGTTGTAATCTGATATTAGTTAATCCAGTGGAGGGCCACAAGGATGATCAGAGGGCTGGAGCATCTCTCCTATGAAGACAGGCTGAGGGAGCTGGGCTTGTTCAGTCTGGACATGAGAAAGCTCCAGGGAGACCTTGTTGTGGCCTTCCAGTACTTGAGGGGAGCTTACAAGGGAGAAGGGGACTGAATTTTTACACAATCTGATAGTGATAAGACAAAGGGAGATGGCTTTAAATTAAAAGGGGGGTGAGAGGTTAGGTGTAATGAAAAAATTCTTCCCTGAGAGTGTGGAGGAGGTACTGGCACAGCTGCCCAGAGAAGCTGTGGTGCCCCATCCCTGGAGGTGTTCAAGGCTAGGTTGGATGGGGCCTGGGCAACCTGAGCTGTTGGATGACAGCCCTGCCCCCTGTAGGGGGTTGGAACTAGATGATCTTTAAGGTCCCTTCCAACCCAAGCTGTTGACTGACAGTACAATATTTTATATTTTGTAAAGATGTCCTAAATATCAAAATTAGTTTTTAAATGTGCATTGGAAAAGAATAGCCACAGAATTTCAGGGGTTGGAAAACGCCTCAAGATTGAGTCCAACCCCCGTGCTAAAACAGGTGCCCTATGATAGGTTGCACAGGTAGGCATCCAGACAGGTCTTCATCTCCATAGAAGGAGACTCCCCAACCTCTCTGGACAGCCTGTTCCTGTGCTCTGTCACCCTTACCATAAAGAAGTTCTTCTACATGTTAGTGCGGAACTTCCTGTGTTCAAGTTTTAGGCCATTACTCCTTGTCTTATTGCTATACACCACCAAGAAGAGCCTGGCATCATCCATTCGCCTCCCTCCTCCCTTTAGATACTCATAAACATTTATCAGATCCCCTCTCAGTTTTCCCCAGGCTGAAGATACCCAGATTTCTCAGCCTTTCCACATATGGGAGGTGCTTCAGGCCTTTAATCACCTTTGTGGCCCTCCACTGGACTCCTTCTAGGTGATCCCCGTCTTTTTTGAACTGAGGAGCCCAGAACTGGACACAGTAGTCTAAATGTGGCCTCACCAGGGCAGAGTAGAGGAGGAGGATCACCTCCCTTGACCTGCTGGCCATACTTTTTTAATGCTCCCAAGGATCCCATTGGCCTTCTTGGCCACAAGGGCACATTGCTGGCTCATCACCAACCTGTTGACCACCAGGACACCCAGGTCCTTCTCCACAGAGTTCCTCTCCAGCAGGTCCTTCCCTAACCTGTACTGAGTGCAATACTCTGCATGGTTCAGTTTATTATTATAGCTTACTTAAACTACGTGGTTTCTTTCTCTGTTTTTCTCACGTGGCTGTGTGTGTTTGCTGTTTTGAAGGCTTCATGACCTACCTGGTGGAGCCACTGTTTGCAGAGTGGGCCCGATTCTCCAACACGCGGCTGTCACAGACGATGCTCGGCCACCTGGGACTGAACAAGGCGAGCTGGAAGGGGGTGCAGAGAGAACAGTCCGGTGGCGGGGAGGATGCTGACCCTGCCTTTGAGGAGATGGACTCAGACATATTACCTCAGGAACCTCGATTGTCCTGACCTCAGCCCTCATGACAAAACTGCCTCTTCTCTCGGTGTCTGCACAGCTGGATTAAAGGAGATACTTGCCCACCCGAGGTCTTGGTAAAATGATGCCAGCATTATTTATTTCCAAGTTTTCCTTCGACACGGACATTTGAACCTGATTTTTTTAACTGCGAGATCTGAACATAGAGCAATATGCATATGCCTCAGTTGGTTTTCGTTCGGAACCTTGAATATGCAAAGCACAGCGGTGACCGAGCCTTGGAGGAACAGTACGAAGGCTTCATTGTGCCACACCTTTGTTTTTCTTTAGTGAAATTTGAAACACGGTCTTCAAATCTAAGACTTGAGATGGATCGTTCCACTTCCTTGGAGTTTAGCGAGACTTGCATGAATGTGTTCAAAGCATACCTTCCACTCAGTCCCTGTTTTAATACGGAAATGTGAAGTGCCCATCCTCTGCTGCCTCTGGCAAGACTTGATGTTTACAAACGTACTCTGAAACTATGGGTTCTAGACTTAACCTTTGCGCATGGCTGTGAAGGAACCACTAACCTGGGTTTTTTGCTTTTTTAAAAGAAAAAGATCAAATCCGAGACTGCAGCTCTTGTTTTTTGGATGCCGGAAAAGCCTCCCATTTGCCATAATTTTGTTTGTGCACTGGGAACTGAGCATTCATCATAGAGCACAGCCAAGCTTTACTCCAGTGCTGTATGGGAATGCAGTTTTTTAAAAGCGGAAAACACTTCAGAATTCGGGAAGGGGTGGGAGGGGTGGGGGGGTGGGAGGGCATCTGAACTGCATTGCGATTCTGCAGTGAAAACATTGCATGTTGTTTTCACTATTGTACACTTGAACTGCACATGCAAGAAAAAAAAAGGTGGAATGTCTCAACACCATAATCAGCTCAGGGTATTTGCCAATCTGAAATAAAGCGGGATGGGAAGCGTGTCCTTCAGAACAAGGGTACAAATGCCCCTTTGCTGCAGTGTGTGTATGTGTGGGTGCGTGAGTCTGTGTGGGGGGGGTGGGGTGGGAGGGTCTGGGCAGGGTTTGAAAGGCAGCATTTTTTTTTTTTAATTTATTCTTTTAGAATGTGACAATTTCATGAACAGCCACATCGGGGAGGAAACTGTAACAGATTGCTACAGATGCCTTAAACTATGCACAAAGCTAAGTGACCAAATTTGTTTGTGATTTGAAGGAAAAAAAAAGAAAAAAAAGAAAAATTACACAAAAAAAAAACAAGTGCATTGTTTACCTGTTCCTCCCTCTGCTGAAACATCGCCCGTTGATGGGGTTTGGATGGGAAAAGGAGAAAACGTTTTTTTAGGACAAAATTAAAGGACTAATTTTAAACTTAACAACATTCCATTTTTGTAATTTGTTTGACATCGTTTTCAGTACAGTAAGCACAACTGTAAGCTGATTTGAGAAACTGGTGCTTTCTTTTAGTTCATTTGTATTTCCCTGTTATTCTTGTAAAAGACTGTTTATTGATTCTGTTTACAGTTTGTCGCAACAGCCATTTTTGGGAGAGAGCTTCAGTGTAAAGCCGTTTGTAAGGCTTTGCCGTAGTCATTTTAATATGTGCCTGTTGCTGTTAACTTTTAATTGGTAAAAGAGATCTTTTTGCATTCTGCTCCCTTACATTTAAGTTACAACGGAGTCCAGCAGTACAAGAAAGGCGGCGAAGGCTGCAGTCGGCTTCCACTGTACAATGAGCCCAGCTTTGGATTTGGAAATTGTCCTCAGATTCTGGAATTTATTGGCTTGGCCTCTTACTGTATGGAAAACAACTTCTGACTTGTTCGTTTCCCTTCTAAAATTAAGTTGTTGGTTATTCTTTCATGTTCCCTGAAGTAATACTGTAATTCTCGAGGTGGCCATGTTTAAAGAAATAAATTTGTAATGAAACCACTTGTTCTGACCCTGCGTCAGCTTCCTTCCTTTGCTATCCGGAGAGAAGGGGAGAAGGCTCAAAGGCAATGTGAGTGTGGGTGCTGAGCTGGTTATGAGCTGCCTCACCTCAGTGGGCTGCTCTGCAAAGGGCCATCCTGGGTGACCTTGTTAAGGACAGGGCCTCGCTGGCTGTATCAACTTTGCTACTTGTTGCAGGCTTTTAGATACATGTCAGTATTTCTAATGGAAAGGAAATGAATTTACAAATATGTATATAGCACTACTTAAATGTAATATTGATTAAACAGCCTGTGCCATTTGTTGTTAAGCAGGTTGCTCTGGTTGGATAGGAACCAGTGCAGTGGGTCCCAGTGCTGAGTGCCAGGGTTCTAATCCCATTTGTGAGTGTATGTGGGAGCTTCTGACATTGGACTGAAGTAAAAAAAATCAAAATCCCTTTTCTTCAAAGCATTGTCTGGAAATTCTTTCTAAAAATCTATGCTGAATATCAGCATTAATTGTTTCGTGTGTTGCTGAGAGCATCGATGTGCTGTGAGCATCTCTAATGCATTACAGCTGCTGAGAGTCACTCAGCCCATGTGGATCCTGAAATGCATTACAGGATGGATGTCAGGTTCCCACTGTAACTACTTCTAATCTGCAGACCTGCTGCTGGGCCACCCGATGTGCTGATGGAGAGCCAGGTGCAGGCCTTGGGTTCTGTTGCAGGTGTCTGTTTAGTGTGCATGTCCCCACTTTGAGCACTGCTGCCTGGGAAGTTTTCTGAGGGCACTGGCACATGAAATGGAAATCTTTAAAGTAGAAAGATGCATAATAACGTATATGAAAGTAAACAGTACATTAATTGATGGCAGCTTTGTGCTACGTTTTCCATACAGAGGGTGTTTCTGTTACCATAGCTTTATGTCACTAATAAGGCTTTGCCATGTTCTTGTATTTCTGGGGTATTGAATACCTGCACCTCACATCAACACATTTCAAACCAGAGTAGTTTAATGTGCATTTTTCTCACATTTCAGACAAATTTAAGAGGTTGGTCAATATCCTGAACTTTACAATTAATGATATAACTGAACTGAGTTACGTTATCACAAATTATGGAGTTGAAGTAAAGTTGGCTGAAAAGCTTTAAAAAGTGTGACTTCAGTAGAATTTTCTGGGTCAGCTGTTGTGAAACTGTGGCCTCTGAGGAGAGGAGTGAGTGCCACAGAAGTGCATGCAGGGACTGGCCAGAACCTTTATATGGGTACCAGGAGTGTATAGAAGCTTCAGGGTAAGTCTGAGGGAGCCGTAACCTCTTCCTTCCCTCTGAATTACCAGCGGTGTGCTACTCTAAGACTAATTGTGCTGCACAGCAAGGTAAGCAGTCCTGTTCCAAAACAGATGCAGGCTGCCAATGCATTTTTAGTCACTGTCATAGAACGTAGACTGTACTTGATTGTGACTGACGTCATCTGTAGAGTACCACAAATCGCATACAATATTTATTTTAAATGCTTTTAATTTTATATAATGGCAATAAGAGCATTAAATACAAAACTCCCAAAATTAACTTTTGAAAAAGGGTTGTAAAGGCGTTTAAAAGAACATGAATATTTAATGGCCTATCAGTAAAACTGATGGCAGAGCAGTCTGAAAAGAATTTATATTGTGTACATATTAACATCATTTCAAGTTTCACACCAGAAAACATCCTCCTTGATCGTACAATCTACATCCCACTTACAAGCAGCAGCAAAGCTTCAGTCATCATCAGTAACCTCCCAGGACCATTCACATGTTTTTACTTTAAATGTGCTGTTTCTCTTTGCCTAGAAAACAGCAGCTCTAAAAGGCACTTATACTTGTTTGAGTAGCAGACAGGCTATGGAGTAGCCACATGTGGCTCTTCTGAGCCCAGCTGCAGTCAGAGCAAACCCTGGCTTCCCTTAGGTGTGCAGCAGTTACACCTGGTTGCAGAACAGCTTTTCTCAATCTGAATTCTGGTTCTAGCATCAGCCCTGCATGTTTATAGACAGAGGCAAGAGGATTGGTCAGCAAACCAGCAGCAAAGAACCGCTATGGGAAATCTGCGAAGGACTTCCCTGAAAACACATTATGTGCAACAACTTCAATCGTGGCTTCCTGCAAAGAGGACCACGAGGGCTTGTGCAGTCCCCAACAGCTCAAAGCCTACTCAGTCGGGAATAAAAAGGTGTCTGTAACCATCTCTTAGCACAGCTGAGATGAGTGATATACTTTTAGCAACTTGTACCCCCTGGTATTTTCTGCCTTTTTTTTTATCTACACCACTGCTGCTCTGGCTAACACGTGCTCTGACAGTAATCCTTTCACTCTGCTGCTACCTCCTGTTTAGTTCAGGTTTGCTGCAATACCAGCATTGAGGGCCCCACAGCACTCTGTATGCTGGTCACAAGATGGTAAGTATTGCTATCTTAGCACTGCAACTCTGTGCTGCTACTAAAAGTCTCACACCAGGTGACTTCTGCAGCAGATTTCAGTTTTTTCTTGGTTCAGAATGAAACAGTTGTACTCAGTTTTTTGGGGGGAGGGGGGCTAAAAAATTGCTAAAATGAAGTTTAAAAGAAACACTGACATGGAAAAAGTCAGTATCAAAGTAAACACTGTAGTGCAAGTTACCATTAGAGCTCAAATGAATGATTAACGTAAGGGTATATCACTGTCATTATTAACATGTACACAATGTTTTAAGGCAGTCAGTTATACACAAGGAATGTTGTAGAGATAACATAGTGTTACTGAACAAGAACCATCATGTAAGTCTACATATAAAGCCAGGTTTGAATACAAAATTAATACCTGAGTATAAGGTCGAATTTATTCCTTGTGGTAAATCACATGCAAACATGCACCTCAAACTTCATGTTTAGTTCCACATCAGTTTTCTTCAGCTTTGCATAAGACCACTTGGTACTAATGCTATTTGCAACACAGGAGACTTCAGACAAAGCAGCTTGACGGTCTTTCACGTAGTGATCTCAGAACATTAAGATTTTTCAATTAAAGTCTTCATTTTTCCTGTAGACTTCAGCATGTGTGGTCCAAACTGGGAAGAAAACCAGAAAGGCACTGACTGCTTTCAGCAGAGACCCGGCTATTACCCATGCAAGGTATACATAAAACCAGAACCTGGGCAGTGGTTACTTCCTTTGTCGTCAACTTGTTCCTCTGCAAAAGTTGCCAACTCAGTCTTTTATCTTAAAGTCTCCAATGCTAGAAACAAGGGATTGATGTGGGAGAGACATAGCCCTGAAGTTGTGAAGAACAGCCCAAAGATTACTGGGGCTGTTCAGTGTGGGGAAAAGGAGACTGAGGAGAGACCTTATTGCTCTCTTTCAATACCTGAAAGGTGCTTACAGTTGGTCTCTTCTCACTGGTGACAGGACGAGGGGAAATGGCCTCAAGTTGTACCAGGGTAAGTTTAGGTTGGATATCAGGAAACACTTCTTGACAGAAAGGGTTGTTAAGCACTGGAATAGGCTCCCCTGGGAGGTGGTTGAGTCACCATCCCTGGATGTGTTTAAAAACCATTTGGATGTGGTGCTCAGGGATGTGATTTAGTTGTTAGAGTTAGGGTAGTATGGGTAGGTTGTGGTTGGACTTGATGAACTTTAAGATCTTTTCCAACCTGAGCAATTCTATGATTATATACTGACCTGAAAGGCCTAAGCCAGAAGGCAAGTCAGTCAGGCAGCACTAATAAGCTGAACTGTTTGCAAGTCCTGAGACTTATGGCTCAGAAGTCTTACTTTTCTCAAGTAATTCAGAGTACAACTAATTCTTTTGGTTAAGTTGCTTTAGATTTTGGAGTTTTACACTTTTCTGTTCTGATTCTATAGCACAAGGGCTGTTTACTAACATCACTGATATATATTATCTTGTTTTGTAAGTAAATGTATATTGCTAGAAACTCAAATCTCGAATATCCATTGCTAAAAAAAACCCCATGAATTTCAAATCAATCTGAAATACACTAAAAGACACTTGTACTAAGAATAATCTGATTTTAATGCCCCCATGTTGCAAAAAAAACAAACAAACAAAGAAAGAAAACCACACTAAGAGCTGTTAACTCACTTATACCAACTATTAGTAGATGCTTCCTACAATGTGATTCAGAAGGAGTTCTCAAGAATTTGCTTTCTACATTCCTGTGAATGGTTGCTCCAGCACCTTCCTTTGAAATGGCCTGTGCACTACTGGCCTGGTTAAGGTTGGTAGTAACAGGCAAACAGTTCAGATTTGTTTCAGGTATGAGCCCACAGGAATCAAGTTTTTATGGTACCATGTTTTCATTGCAACAGGAGATTCTTGTTTAAAGAAGAAAACATGAGAAGGGATTTTCAAATCTTGAGCCAAACCAGTACACAATCTTGAGAGCTGATACTAGAAACAAAATGTTTCTGCCACAAATCCTAATGTATCACCAATACTTCATGGGGTTTTGTGGACAGGTTTGTTAATTCCTTGGTATTCCTGTCTGTTGGCAGAAAGATTTATTGGGCTTATCAGGCAATTATCAAACAATGATTTGTCCAAGCAATCAGAAGCACAATACTCACCAGCACCACTTCATTCTTTGTTTCAGACTTGGGAATTACTTTTTCAATTTCACTTTGGCTATCCCTTCGGTATCGGTAAGCAAACTTCTTTTTGAGTGCTTCTGCTATTAAAGCTGCAGGATCTGTGGGGTCAGCTGCTTTCGGTTTTGTATCTCCCGGTGATCTAGAAAGGTAAATGAAAAACCTCAGCATAGTCCAAAGACCTAGAAGTCATGAATTCATTTCTACTCTTGTTTGTCAAATGTCACATCGTCATCTCCCCCAAGCTAAAACAGTTCTTAGCCATAAAAGCAAACTGTTAATGCAAAAGTTAGTAAATATAAATAAACGCCTTACTTTTTCACCGAGCGTAGTTTCACACTGTTCATGTCTTTGAGGATTTCTAGCATGTTTGGTATTTCAGGCTTCTTTGGCCCATTTTCTGTCGGAATCTGTCCAGAGTTTGTTTTTCTGTGTTTCCGTTCTCTGATGAGCTCAATGGCAGACATGCTTTGCTGCAGTGCTGGGGGAGGGAGCGGTGGAGGAGGAGGAGGCGGTGGTGGTGGCACACCAGGGACAGCAGCTGAGGCAACAGGGCTTAGCCCAGCTGCAAGCAAAACACATGCCACGTCAGTCTCCTTCTACGTACCCTTTATACCTCACAAATACTCTGATAAGAATATGATTAAAATAGCTTCAGTTGTCTCCTCTCTGCCTTCTTTAGATTGTTGTACAATTTCTTAAGTTGATATCAATGAAAAACCACATCAAAATCCTTCCTTGAATTCCCAAGTTCAAACTGCACTGGGATGGATGTCACCATGTCTTTCAAATCAAATCCTGCTTTTAACATTATCGGTATTTCACTTTCATCTGACAGGTGGGCTCTGAGCTGGACATTATAGAATTGTTTGAGTTGGAAGGGACCTTTAATGGTCATCTGGTCCAGCTCCCCTGTAGTCTGCCACGTGAGTGATGATTCTTCCAGTTTATCATCAGAAATTACAATTCAAGGCTTTAAAATGTATATTACAGAGCTTAAATAGTGCTTAAATTCCAGCTTAAATTCCAGCTTTTTGAGGTTTTCTTTTTTTTAGGACAGCTGATCTATCTTGACTTGGTATTCCCTCTCTCTTTAGATTATAAGTAAGTTACAACAGAAGAAATCACCAATACGCAAAGAAACCTCTGCTCAAATGCACCTTTAAGAAACTGCTAAAACCAGGCTAAGTCAGAGTTTTGAAGCTTAGAGTATCTAGTATAAATATGTATGCAGATAATAAGAGTCTATTCTGTGTCAATGTATTCATACACAACTGTTACCACATTCTACCAGAAGAGGGAGGTAAAGATGATAAAGTCACATCAAAATTTAAGTTTCCTCATACATGAAGGAAAAGGGAAAATGAGGAAAACTAAGTTCCTGTGGGACTTCCTCAAATACCTAACTACAATTCAAGAATGAAAGCAAGTGACCTTTAAAACTGTTTCACCATTTTGTATTTGAACAGTTAAGGAAGAATCAGTTCGCAGGCAAAAAACTGAACAACACCATGAGCACAGGCAAAACAAACCACTTGGTAGGAATCGGTCAAAACTGAATGGCTATTATCTGCAATTGCTAATGGCTCTCTCTCCCACTAACCCTTGCAGAGTGGAGACTCAGAATTGGATGGATAGCAGTGGTTAGTTGTGAGGGAAAGAAAGAAAAGTTGTTATGGTGCTTACTACAGGAAACAACTTCTGGTTCTGTATGCATAGTCTCCTTTTCTGCTATTTATTTCATAAGCTTGAGGTATAAACTACATCTTCCAGAAGCATAATCAGCCTTTTACATGACTGTATCATTATATGAGATGGTCCATTTCTGGGTAGGAAGATTTAGGTGTTAGTAATTATTTAACTTGGTTAAATCCCAGCTGTTTATCATTAGCTTTGCTCTGAAAGCTGCTAATACTTCTTTTCTCATCTGCAGACTGGGATTCTGATGAGCCTTCACAGAAATGCCCCCTCCCTGGAGGCATTCAAGGGCAAGCTGGATGGGGGGTCTGACCACCCTGGTCTAGAGAAGGGTGTCCCTGCCTATAGCAGGGAGTTGGAACTACATGATCTTAAAGGTCCCTTCCAACGCAAATCATTCTATGATTCTGTGAAACATCAGGACTGCTGGAGTACGAGAAAATATGAAAAATCTGACAGGGCTCTTGCCTTCAAGAAATACCTCATTGTGGCCTTCCAGTACTTGAAGGGAGCATATAAATAGGAGGGGGAACGACTGTTTACGATGGTGGATAGTGATAAGACAAGGGGGATGGTTTTAAATTGAGATAGAGGAGATTTAGGTTAGATATTAGGAGGAAGCTTCTCCACGCAGAGGGTAGTGATACACTGGAACAGGTTGCCCAAGGAGGTTGTGGATGCCCCATCCCTCAGGCCAGGCTGGATGTGGCTCTGGGCAGCCTGGTCTGGTGGTTGGATACCCTGCACATTGCAGGGGGGTTGAAACTAGATGATCGTTGTGGTGCTTTTCAACCCAGGCCATTCTGTGACTCTATGAAATACTCTCCATCCCTCCATTAAGATGTTATGTCCATCTACTAACCTAACCAAAGCAGTATGCAGAAATGTTCAGTGTTGCAGTAACTCATAAAAATGACTTAACGCTGTACTGAACATAAAGAGTACAATTCATTGAGTAATTTGTGCTAAGAGTACAGTAGATCTAATACCTGCTGTCAGATTCTGTTGTTCTTGCAAGATAACAATTTTGGCTATTTGTGCTCTTAAAGTGGCTAGTTCATTTTCCAGAGCACTGATCTTCTGCAGAGCTTCTTCATTTGCAATTACTGTGCTTCTGGGTGCTGGTTCTTCGTGTAACATGTTTGGTATGGAGTCTGGTCTGCCCAGAGAATTTCCATGTAGTTCACCTGAAAGGGGCTGGGCTGTTTTTGACCACACTTCTGACCTGCAACAAAAAAAAACAGAAAATTCTTCTTTAAAAGGCTTTCCAGTCAGTAAAAACTAAAGCAAACCAAGAACAGAAGTCGAAGGATTGACAAAAATTGTCTTCACACCAATCACTTCCACCAAAACATTATATGGCTTAAAGTAAGAGCCATGCATCCCTTCTTTTTGTATTACTGGTGTTTCATCTCTTTCTACCTAGTCAGCTTTGTAAGGAGTACTGAATTTCCAGAGGAAAAAGGAATTAATTCCCTCCTGCCGCAACTCTACTCCTCTACCTCATGCCTATTTTATTTTTTGTTGAAATTAAGATTTAAATTTGTTTTGGTTCAAATGCTTCCATATTTCTTTCCATAAGCTGCAAATAGTCATTTGTAGTTGAGGAGGAAGAGTTTGTTAGTTCCATGGCACATTTTTATATTGTTTCTAAACTTCTGGACTTCTGTTCTATTTCTGCCCTCCATTTTACCAGTGGTGGGAGAATGGAGAATATGGAACTTGATGCTGCTTATCAATAAATAGGAAGGGATCTTACATCAAGGTTTCTAAGAATAAACACAACTATAGAGAAATATAAAGCTTCATACAATTTAAGAGAGTTTGTGAGCTTCCCTTCTCACAAAGAGCAAGAACATTTAACTGTGCTGCCTTCGCACATGAAGGCAGAAGTTAAGTTCAACAGAGATTACTGAATATCTGCAGTCACCAACAGTTTATATTCACTGGTGACAACATTTTAAAACAGGCTAGTAGAGCTGATACAGATTAATGATAATGGGTTATCATAAATCAGATCACCTCACTGTAGCATTAGATGATCAACAATTGAGTCAGACATTATCCAGAGGAGCTGTGGATGCTCCTTCCATGGAAGTGATTAAGGCCAGGTCGGATGAGGCTTTTGAGCAACCTGATCTAGAATGACAGAGTCATCAAAGTTGGAAAAGACCTAAGATCATCCAGTCCAACTGTTAACTCCTCACCACCATGCCTACTAACCCACATCTCTCCAGCCCGTTCCAATGCTTGACCACCCTTCCTGAGAAGAAATTTTTTCTAACATCCAACCTGAATCTCCCAGGGTGCAACTTGAGGCCATCACCTCTCATTGTATCACTGTCATGTGGGAGAAGAGGCCGACCCCCACCTCACCACAACCTCCTTTCAGGCAGCTGTAGAGAGCTGGAAGGTCTCCCTTCAGTCTTCTCCAGACTGAATAATCCCAGTTCCCCTCAAGTGCTCCCCATAACACTTGTGCTACAGACCCTTCCCCAGCTTTGTTGCCCTAGTGGGTGGCAACCCTGCCCATAGCAGCAGGGTTGGAACTTGAAAAAGTTAAAAAATTGAAAAATACCAAACGTACACTGCACTACATAGCATCATGCACACTGAAATGTTCATGTTTGCTAAGTAATTGACCTGCAGTGCGTCATCAGAAGCTTACATTGCCTTAAAGTCACTATTTACCTAGAGGATTCTTTTAGTCTGATTTCATATCTACCTATCCCACCCCACCCTTCCTTTGCATGCAGGCACTTCAGAAGTACATCACTCCTACGGTTTCTGGAAAGTTACTCTGAACTAAAGCTTTCTCTGAACTACAGAACTGTACCTCTGTTTCAGGCTGGCATGAGCAGTAATTTGGGTAGGTTAGAAAATGGAACTTCATCACTCAGGCCAACCTGTTTCATGCAGCTACAGTGCTATGCAGTAGTCCATGTCCAACACAGAAGTATCTATGCTATCATTCTGGACACAGGTACTCACACATTTCCCTGCCAGTCTTCATTAAAAGATAAAGACAAAATGTAAGTTGTAATTTTAAAATTATCTGCTATAGAATGCAAAGCCCTGACCAGAAGGGTGAAAAATGATGTGACAATTACCAGATTGTCAAAATGATCATTGCTGTTAGTCAGGAAGCCTTACAATACCTTGCCCCACACTAATGAGACCTCTGGAGAACTAGAAAAGAATCAGTGCAAGTGATTGTGCCACACTACAGTAGATGTTTTTATGGAAACAAGGTTGTGTGAAGCTTATCTCTGAAATAAATAAGTTAATAAAACCAAAGTCGTCTGTGTTCATGTTCTTAAACCAATCTTTCATTCATAATCCTGTTATTGTAATCTCTCCTTATTCTTTTCCAGTTCCTACCTTTTCTATCTCCCAGCCCAGAAGTGCTCTGCATTAATTGTAATGCACAGTGTATTCTCATTGGAGAGAACCTGGTTCTTTTGCTCAGCTTATAACTTCAAAGAGAAAATCCAAGTGCATACCTGAGCCTTGTAGAGATTTCACCTTCCTCTTGAGCAACCCATCCCACATCTGCAAAAGAAGCCACTGCATCTTCTCTAAATTGATGAGGATGATTTCCTTCTGCGGCTTGAGAAGTAAGCTAGATTTTAAAGACAAGATTGAAAGTTTAAGAAACATTTAGAAACTTTTAGTTAGGCTGCATGTAACTATTAACACATACATGCACAAAACACATCAATAGACTCAGTACTCTTGTTACTGTCCTGAGCTTGGTGTAAAATCTAACACACTATTCAATCTAGTCTCCTGAATATTTTACAGAAATTATATTGGTTTTTGAGATTCACGACTAGCTTCATGTACTATGGCACAACACTCAACACTGGAAGTCCAAAGCAAACTGTTACCTTAATGACAAACAAACATCAACACTCTGAAGCACTTTGCTGTAATAACTCAAATAATGTTTTAATGATATTCATGACCAGTAGTTAAAAAAAATAATTACTACATCTATCTATTAATCTTTCACACTAACTTAGTACTATTGTGACAGAGAAATGGTTGTAGTGTGTTTCCCTTTCTCTACAATGTCCAGAATTTCTGTATGAGTCTTCAGTCCTGTCTGTTACACGGGAAAAAAAAAGTCCTTCTACCAACTCCATCATCATGAGGACTTTCAATGACAGCTATGACAGAACTATAATGGAATGAATAAACTATTTACTAAAAAATCTCATTTACAGCATGCCAAATGGACAGACCGTTTCGTAGCACAGTTTTGCTGCTAGTTCTATAGCTTTTTGAAGCCAAAGCTGAACAAGGCTCAAGAGACTGGAACATTTCTTCCATTTACAGTTAAGTGACCCAAATGAAAATCTGACAAATTATCTGGGCCACCAATATATGCTCCATAACCACAACTATACAAAATGGTTTCAAACCTACTTTGAAATATCAGCTGCTTTCCCAGGCTACACAAGGGCATGTGTATTCAGTCCAGTGACTGAGTATAGCCTGGTCTCTGTACCTAAGCAAATAAAAGCTACTGAAATATCTTTCAGTAATTCCTCCTGCTCTGCTTGCTGCCTTTAGTTATTTATTTCCAGTGTGACTATGCCACCTCTACTGCATATGTTACATATAATCCACATGCCAAATTTGCACATGAAGTGCTGCAGGTGTTTAAGTGCAGGCAGTGGCAGAGAAACTACTAACACTGACAAAGATGGTGGTATCATTTAATAGTCTCTGAAGTATTGCCCTGATTCATCCTGCTAGCACTTAAAGGCAACTCACTCTTCTAAAAAGAAACTATAATGTAGCAGCAACCACAAAATGCTAGTGCTATCCTGAATTTGTAGCTGACCCAGCACAGTAGGACTGTAATCTTGTTTAGGTAAATCATTTATGAAGAACATGCACACATATTTTAGTTGTAGCCTTTGATACGCAAGTTCCAGAAATATAGAAGTTCTGTTTTTGTTGTTATTTTTCTTCCTCCCCTAGGAGTTGTCACAAACAGCTTTGGAAATTGAGATTATGAGGTGAAGATGACTACTCTTGCAACTTGTGTGTGAGCCTTTATCACAGCTCCCAGGAGTATATATTGGCATTTGGAAACAACAGGGTTTTTTCCAGGTAGCATCAGCACAGATGGTAATATGTTATCACATTAACAGTTGTGCCTAATACCATCACAGACTGCCTCTCTTCAGAACAGTCTGCAGCATACTATATTGCATGTTAGGACTGTCATTGTTTGAGGTTTCCTTCGATTTTTTTCTTCTTTTTTAAAATAAAATTATCATGGCCACTGCAGCTGTGTTAAAGGTAATGGCAATTAAAAAATATCTCATCTGTAACACAGCAGCTGCTTCTTGCAGGCCATACAAATTTTCCAAATGGTAACGGCCACGTGAGGAACTATTACCACAAAAAGGCTGCAGGTGCATTTAAATAAAGGTATTACATGTACTTGCATCAGAAATCATGTTAGAAAGCAACAGTAAGGAAAGCATTTACCACAGCCAGGTTTCTTGCATCATGAGATAAGTAACTTCTAATCCAACATCCAGTAGCAAGCCTTCTGTTACACCGTGATGCAAGTTTCTTCTTACTTTTTAATTCATATTTATGTGTAAACAGAATCTGCTTGTTCCATATGCAGATGTTTCTTTTCTCTATCCCTATAAATGACAAGACCTTCCACAGAAGCGGGTTCTGAATTTCAAGTTGAGGCAGGATTTTTAACTGAACTTGGAGCTTAAAAGCCAGCACTCATCTCTTAAAACATTTGCTTGTCTGTAGAACATAGATATTTAAAGAACCCTGCTGAATGCCCTCCAGCCCATCTTGGCTGAAGAACATTTGGACAACTGCTTTGCCAACGCCTGAAATGGAGAAATGACAGCTGAAAACAGAGGCCCAATTCTATTAAACACTGAATTGCAGGAATTGGATGAAGGAGTGGAATTAGCTTTCTTTTCTTTCTCTGGGTAATATATAGTTGTTTTCCCAACTTTTTCCTTAACAGACTTTTTTCCTATTTTAGTGTGTGTGTGTATGTATTTTACATATACATGTGTGCATGCAGACAAAGAATGTCTGAAAAACAAAAACAAACTGAACTGCTTTTAGATGGTGTCAAAATAGGGTCCTACCTCTTGTTGGTTCCAAAAAGTGGAAAGTAGAACAGATATATTTACATATTTAAGAAAGAACAAAGACCTCATGTTTCAAATTACTAATAGACTTACATATTAAACATTTGGAAATACTTCTTCAGGACAAACTTACTATGATTTTTCAGATTGGCACTGATGTTTGCTACATTCACATCAATTCCTTAGGAAGCTTGTGTTCAATTATAAGGTGTATATCAGACAATCAGAAGCATGGGACTACAACAGAGATGTCGTATCTGGAAGACACTGGATTGATAACACTGGAGGAGGAAGGCTCCTATCTTCTGTGTATTTGTCAGTTTGTTTGAATCTACCTCAGCTATATCAATGCTCAACTTTTTTCCTCCTAAAGACCACAGGTAAATGTAAAACGTGACATACAAAACCAGCTTTACAAACCACTTTCATTTGTTCATGCCATATACAGTCAAGTTCTGTCACTGCTTACTGAATGCATGAGCTGCACTTAGCAATAAATATTGATGAGGACAAAATCCATGAAGACAAGTACTACAACAGTCACACACCTCAAGCATGCAAGGAGAAAAGAATGAACATAAACAGAGATGCTCTTTCAATACACCTTGTCCATTTATCACAAGAAAATGAAAGCCTGCAGAATGTTTACTGATCTCAGATAAAGTTAGAAACACTGGTGGTATGCATGCACCCCCAGATGAAGCAGGGATGGTTTGCTTTGGTTTCTGGATAAAGTGACTTACAGCAAAGTTCAGTGCATGGTCCTTTCAGAACATAGCTAAAGCTGGCAAGAAAGAAAAAGGAAGAGACAGCTATAGGAAAGCCTCAGTTTCAACAGTATAAACATGATCAAGACTGGTACTGAACTTCACTACAGAACCTTAACACTGAGATAAAGACAAAGATAGACGTTAGCATCACACTTCTACACGTTCAGCAGTTTATAAACTGAAATAGTTATAATTATGCTCAAATATGTTTTTAAAAGCCCACATTAACCATATAAACTTTAATATGCACAAAAGCCTCACTTTGTAATATTTCAAATTCAATCAATTCTGACAGTGGTAAGGAAAGGTTCCTAAAAGCAGTACATTTATAGAAGATGAATGTTTATACTCAGGGTGGATAAAATCAAAGCAAAGCTCATCTTTACATTTCAACACTAAAAGTATTCTGAAAAAAACTCCCCAGATGCATCTCCCAGCTCTCTGCAAGTAAAAAAAAAACAACCAGAATGTCCTCTTCTATGTATTGTATTGAGAGAAGGCATTACTTGGCTAATTTTTTTTTTACAAATAAGCATTAACTTCCCTTGCATAGCTTTCACAGCAGGGTGAATCAGACACAATGCAGGAGGACTGCAGTTTTTCAAATGTGAGGCACGCACAGCTGTACTGCTGGCATAATCACTATTAATTATATACCTAAATGTTCAAATTCAGCAGGCCATTTTGTTGTCTTTCCCACTTGCACAATCCCCCCTGTAGCAATGTATATGTTTATTATTTCAAGTTTCATGAAGACACCCTTGATGGGAGATACTTGGCCCCAAGTCTCTAAGAGAGCAAACATGTTAGCATGGCTTTTACTGTCACCACAAAGAGGCTTCTACAGTAATCTGAATTATTTGATTTTTCTAGGCTTATTCTTAATTCAAATACTATTCATACATCTCATATAGGATACAGAGAGAAATGTAAGAGTGAAAAAATTAGCTATGTAAAAATTACCTTGCCTTAGTATGGCTGATGGTTTCCACCATACATCTTTGTGTTCTCCTCCCTTGTTCAACCCAAGAAACATTCCTCTCTCAGCAGGAGTTTCAAGCACTGAATCCCTGCAATTCTACACCCACCCCCTATGCACAGTATTCTCAGAGTTGAAAAGATTCTTTGTAACAGCTTCCATTTTCCCTTCTCTTCCTGAATAACTTGTTATAAAAAGCAAGGGGTTCTCCTTAAGCTTTTGCCCTTGCTCTTTAACCTCACACTAGGTGCACACAAAGTTACAAGATAACAAATGAGAAAGCTGCACAGCACTGATGCTTCCCTGTGCTAGCTTTCTGCAAAAACAAAAAAAGGGTACGTGTTATCTTACAAATAATTTTTTTAATTTCTTATAAAGTTTGTTATTTTCCACAATATTTTTACATAACTGCCCACCTTTGCACGCTTACTAAGCCTAGTCTTTAGTACTGTTTTTCAGAGTAAGTTTCAAATGTTTCTCTCTTAAGAATTTATGCTTTTTTCCTAGAAATGACTTTTTAAAACTGTGTGTGGCTGCATTTAAAAAGGAGTGGCCAGCAGGGAGAGGGAAGTGATTGTCCCCCTCTAGTCAGCTCTTCTGAGGCCCCATCTGGAGTACTGTGTCCAGGCCTGGGGCTCCCAGTACAGGAAGGACGTGGAGCTCTGGGAATGGGTCCAGAGGAGGGCCACTAAGATGATCAGAGGGCTGAAGCACCACTCCTACGAGGAAAGGTTGAGGGAACTGGATTTGTTTAGCTTGGAGAAGAGAAGGCTCCAGGGAGACCTCATGGTGGCCTTCCAGTACTCGAAGGGAGCATATAAACAGGAGGGAGAACAGCTGTTCACAAGGGTGGATAGTGATAGGACAAGGGGGAATGGTTTTAAATTGAGATAGGGGAGATTTAGGTTAGATATTAGGTGGAAGTTTTTCACCCAGAGGGTGGTGACACACTGGAACAGGTTGCCCAAGGAGGTTGTGGATGCCCCATCCCTGGAGGCATTCAAGGCCAGGCTGAATGTGGCTCTGGGCAGTCTGGTGGTTGGCAACCCTGCACATAGCAGGGGGGTTGAAACTAGATGATCACTGTGGTGCTTTTCAACTCAGGCCATTCTGCGATTTTATGATTTTAGAAGTTTTATTTTCTTTAGGAAAACAATTCAAGTTTTGCTATGTGTGTTACAGCAACACTGGTCAGCATTTTAGGCAGTACAGAAAAGAATCCATAGTAGGTAAAAATCTGAACTGTAAAGTGGGAGGAACTGAAGTACAGTATTCTCCTATGTGGCAGGTTTATCTAATTCTTTGTCATGAAACCTTTAAGTCAATTTATTTAAATGAGCCATAGAATTCCCTAAAAATCTTTTGATGCAAGAGTAAATCTCTTCATCTGTATAATGAAACTTGTGTTTTAAACTGTTGAGACTGCCTACCTGAAATTGAACTCTTGGACATTGTATTAGAGAGAGGTTAGTACCAATTTTTCTCACAATACTCCGAGATGAACCATAAGGCTTGCTTGACCAAAGTACCTATTGGGAAGAAAAAAAAAGTCAGATGTTAGATTAAAAAATTAATCACCATATTGGAACAGTTTTCCTTTATCCTTCTGTATTGCGCTTGTGCTAAATGTACATATGATTTAGAAGTTATTCTTTTCTTGCTAGGAAGACAATATACAGTTATGACTGTTGAAGTTCGAGACAGCCTTTACATTAAGTTTAAATTCAAAGCAATAAATCTAGTAATGCAGTAGGATTCAAAAGATGTGATCTTTAAAAGCATAATTTGCCCCCTTTTAACACAATGAGGAATTTGCACTGAGTCACACACTGCTTTTTAAGGTGTTTCATGAAAACCCATTCAATCAATCATGAAAAATCCAGAATCACAGAATGGCCCGGGCTGGAAGGGACCTCAAGGACCATGAATCTGCAATCCCCTGTCACAGGCAGGGCCGCCAACCTCCACCTCTAACACTAGACCAGGCTGCCCAGGGCCCCATCCAACCTGGCCTTGAACACCTCCAGTGTGTTACGTAATTCCACACTCCCCAAATTGTTCTGTGCTTTTTTTAATTAAAAGCTCTTCTAACACAGGAACAGTGTCTACAGGTCTTAACAGAAATAGACTATAAGCCTGTACAAAGTAGAATGTGCAACTGTGGAATTAAAAAGAAAAGTGGAAAAAAGAAATATTTGAAAATTAAAATGCTCTAACATACAGATGCAGTAAAGGAAACTGCAAACAGAACCTCAGTTAATCTAGCTTCTGATTCTGAACTGCTTCTACTGAAATTCACATTTCTTCTAGGTCATTTCAGTGGGGATTTATTTTTTATCTTTTGTTTAACTTAATGACAAGAATGCTTGTTCTCCTATTTTACTAAAGTTGTATGAAATGAGACTTTAAACCTAGAAGAATTCTACAAAAAGAGCCAGAACAGAAGAAAAGAATAGAGAGAAGTGGGAAAGATTTCAGTAGAGAGAATGACAACAGAAGCAAAGGAAAAAAGGTAGAAGGATTGAGGGGAAGGCTGTAATGAAGATGATGTGGTCAATAAACAATTAGAACACTGTCTGGTAATTAAAAATACTTGGACAGTATTTACTTATGACTGTAGATACAAATTTGCTATTCAGATCTCAGTTTTTAGAGGCTCATGAGTTTAAGCAAACTCAACATCCTGTTAGAAGTTTGGCACAAACAGAAATCTTTGTATGAATTGCACGGATTGGATTTATTGAAACAACTTCGATGTGGCATGGCTGTATTGCTTGTGTGATCTGTGTGGTGAAGCTGTGGGAGTTTCACACCACACCACTGAATAACACTTTGATATGCCACACAAAAATCACTACTCTTAAAACTCAGAGGGTTCTACTAAGAACAAAATATTATGCTTCACAGTATTTATCCCGAGATTATATTATTTTAAAAACTTCACAAAAAACATTTTGCTTAGTTCTATACTAAAGCATCTTTCTTTCCTCTGACTTTAATAGAATGTATACATTTTGACAAAATAAACGCACATACGCACGGCACATATGCTATGCTAGATTTCCACATCAGATTCTCATCATTGCCAACGATCCCCTTCAGACTCAATTTTTCATTACAGGAAATACAACTTTGCTCCATACGCAGTTAAGTTTGAATACAATTTCTTTCAACCTACAGAGTCCTCTCTGGGAACTGCATTTTAGATGCCACAAAGAACAACCTCTCATTTGTGATGTCCACATTACTGTCATCTATACAGCCGAACAAAAAGTAAGAGTAGATTGGAGCTCTCAAGAATAAATCATCGATAAGCAGTACTGCAGTAATAGAGTCTCGCTATTTACAGTCAACTCTGCTGCTAAAAGCAGAATGGTTGACAACAGCCTTAAAGTGATGTTGCTTTGGCAAAAAAAATACTAGTCAAGGGAATGCTTGATTAATTATGGAAGTAATTCCACAAGAACAAAGAACCTGGACTACGTGCTGTATTGCCAACCTGAGTGCAGTACATTTCAAACAAGCGGGAGAACTTGTTTAGAGATTGCTCAGACCACAGACAAAAGGTTGACTGAGACCCACATCCTCCATAATATGTGGTGCCTAACTGCATTTCAGGTTTTTAATGACTCAGTTTGGGTGATTCAAGATATAGACAGTATTTTCAGAAAACTGCACACAAGTTGTGCCTCAAGATATGTCAATAAAGTCAGCACTGCCCAGCTGAGCTAATAAGTCTCAGCATTGCTCTAGTCCTGTACACACAGCTTCTTGTTGACTTGAAGCACTGGCAGAGCAAGTCTGCAGACTATTACTTAGTAATGCCCTCTTATTGCATCAGTGTTTTACTGTTCTGCAGGATGGCTAACATTTGGAAACGTAACCACATTATCCCTGGCTCGAGACAAACAGAGAATAGAGGGAAACAGAGATTAAAAACTTGTTTCCCCCCTATTCAGTCTAAAGATGTTGCTAAAATAGCCATGCCAGCACCCAGAGTAGTAAGCATATTCTTATGCTCTGAATTTTCAGTGTTATACTCCATGAAATCTCAGATTCAAGTTCTAATAAAATCCTAAAATACTAATTCTTCTACTCCCTGTAAATTCCTCAGTGGTCTATCACAATCACCAAAGTAAGAACCATCTTAAATAAGTACTGCACATAGTTGGTAAGGAATTCCATCTTATTAAAATGTATTTAGAACTTAAAGACATTACTGTATTGGAGACAGCAGTTCTACACAAAATAGCTTCCTAAAGATCCCAGTGAAACAGCAGATGATATGTAGCAAATCTCTCTGCTAAGCATCGACAGAAAACTCCCCATATTCTTTCATTCAGGAGGAAACCTTCGCAGGCACATTCCTCTGTTTCCTTAGTGAAGCACACAGCCATGTTGCTCTCCTATACAGTAACATTTTCAGGAGGAAAGGAGAGGAAGATACAACAAAATAATCATCAGTTTCATGGGGCTTTTTGTATCTCTAAGATAAGAGCAAAGAAGGAAGGACATTTAAGAATGAATTCAATTGCCAACTCAGATGAAAATTTTCCTTCAGCTTCAAAATACACCTAAAGGAGGAGAATGGAAAGCATCATCTACACTGTAAACAGTTTATTGTTAGAACTAGAAGGAACTACATGGTATTTTTAATGCATACGTTGCTCAGTAATTCAGTGTCTTGAGTAGGGAACTGCATACCTGCTCAGCAATGCAGAATCATACAGATACTGAGTATATTTAAAGTGCTCTGCTGGAATGAACGAGGGTGAACTAAAATATATGAAGTGCTTTCAATACCTGATTTTCTGGAAGAAAAAAAAAAAAGAAAAAAAAAGAATCAAGTTTGAAACACTTACAGATTCCATGTTAAGTCCAACTTGTTCAAAAATCATCCTCATTAAGCTCTTAAACCAGCGAATCATCTGGACTGGAAAGGGTTCTTCCAAATCTGGATTTAAGCCTTCCAAATCTACAGGGCTGCAGAGGTTCCATAGTCCTTCTGAAAAACATGAAACAAACATTTTAGAAGCATGCTGTGGTCATACACAGAAGAAAATTGCTCCTTGTATTTCAGAAAGCTTCTGAAGCAGAATCTGAAAACAAAGACACTTCCAGACTTCCTAGTACTGCAAAGTACAGTAATCCAGAAGACAACTGACCTAGTAGAGGCAACAAGGAGTTTTTGTAGTATGATTTTTAAGAAGCCAAAGCTGCTGCAAAGTTAATGGCTAAAACACTGGGAAAATGACTGCTCACTTCAACTTGAATAGAATGCCTGCAACCAAGGACCAATGCTAGGATTCAAGGGCCACATTCCCAGCTGAAACTCTTCCCTATGCAAAAACAAACTCCAGAAAGCAGACCCCTTCTCCTCGCTTACATTCTCTGACAGCTTTCTTGTTTCCCACAACAGAAACATGGAAATATGACTAATAGAAGAAAAAGACAGGAAACAGTGTCAATGTGGGACCTGAAAATACTCGAGTGGCTTATAAAGTTGGCGAGATTTCAAACTGTGTCTATTTATACATACTACCATTCACTAAAGATGTTTTTACTGCATATCTTTCCCTTAAACATGTTCTACACCAGTCACAACTTGGATGCCACTGAGAATTGCGTGCCATCTTAAAAAAAAACAAAAAAAGAAAAAAAAAAGCTATAGCTTTAGGTTTACGTTTGTTTTGTGTATCAGGCTAGAAACAACACTCTGTTGAAGCACCCCGAACAAAATATTTGTAGTATGAACAACTGTGTTGCTAAAGCCATTACACACAGAAGGATGACTAAGGCAATGTGGCAGCTAGGAACTGTTAGTTAGAAAGTTAGAGTCAGGAGATGGAAAAGCTATGCAGTTTGAAAGTGCCCACAAGCATCACAGTTAAATCATCACTGTTTCCATTACAAACGTTTTTGGGTTTGTTTGTTTTTTTTTTCCCCCAACAGTCAACAGTTCCTTAGTGAGAATCTACTTCTTGTGGAAACTTGGCAAGAACCGTGCAGCCTTACAGGCTTTTTGGTTTTTGTTTTTTTTTTCCAGACAGGCTTAAATACAACAACAAAAATTGATATTAGTTTCTCATCACCACAGAAAGAATAACACGTTTCCTAACAGGACTTCCTTCTATTGGTGAATAACCCAGGAAAAAGCACTATTTTACCAGCCAGCAGAGGACTAACGTTAGTTTTTTTATTAGCAAAAGAATACAAAAATGAACCAATCATTAAGAGATTAAATGGAAAAGCAACAGGAAAAAATAATGGGTTGTCTATAAGCTGCAGTTCCTGATAGAGTCCCTCTCCATCCTTCTTTAAGGCTCACTTTAGGTACTGGAAGACCACCATGTAGTATTCCCAGAGCTACCTTTCTTCCAGACCAAACAAGTCCGGCTCCCTCAGCCTTTATTTATAGGAGAGGCTCCCCAGTGCTCTGACCATTCTTGTTGCCCTCCTCCAGACCCAGTCCAACAGCTCTGCACCCTCCTCTTGCTGGGATCTGGATGCAGTACTGCAGGTGGGGCCTCACAAGGGCAGAGATGACTCCATCTACCCTGATATATTGCTCTTTCAAAAGACAGCCAGGTCATGCCAAAATGCTAAGATGTATTCAGTCAAGTTTTATTAAGAAAATAAAGAAAAGGCAATGATAATTTTGGTTCTGATCAACTGAGAAGGCAGAATCTTTAATAACAGAGATAAGTGGGTGCAAGTGACTTAATAAAATGATTATTTTTGGTTCACATTATAAATCACCGTTTCTTCTACAGCCTAAATGTAGAAAGTGGCCAACATTCTAAACTTGCCCATGACCTGCTGTCTGCTTTTGCTGGAAGAAGTGACAGAAGTCACTCCCTGAGAGTGCAAAGTACCCCTGGATCCCGGATATCAGCACAGCACTGAGGACAACTGTGTTTTAATAACCTCCAGATCATTACTCATCTAAAAAGAAATCTAAAAGGAAAACACTTCTAAATACATCCCCTTGTTATTTTTATGAAATCTATTAGTTTTCCAGATTTACCCCCAGACAAACTTCACACTCATTTCTTCCAGACTATCCTGCACACTATTTTCCTTCACAAATCTCAATTATTTCACAATTATTCCGTGTGCCAAGAACAGAAAGAGTTTCACATGAATTGCAGGACAGCAAGAATGAAAGTATTAGCAAATACCTTGTATGCATGCCAATCTCAAGAGTTAAACATTCACTGCTTTTAGTAACCTAAAACAACAGCTCTTTTAAAATACTGTTTGCTTTATCTATTCTCTGACTTCTTCATTATCCTCTATCTACCTGGTGCTCGCTAAATTAAAAATAACAGCAATTTAATTCCTCTGAAGCCTCCACAACTCAAACAATGCAATAAAATGCCCCAAAGTGACAGTAATATTGCTACAAAATGTGATTATTTCTGTGTACTTAAACAAAACAATTACAATGGTAAGGAGTAGTCACAGGCAACATTCCCAGAAGAGGTTAGAAGAGAAATAACGCAAAGAATGGCATCTCAGTGCATAAAGCAGGCAGGATGGGAATGCCACATGTTGCTCACTTATACATCTCTACGTACACAAAAATTAACAATGCTCAAGAGGTTTTTTTCTGATATGGAAATGTGCAGAAACTCCCTGTTCAGAAATGAGCAGGGCTACGCTTCTGAGTGCTGGGGTTTTCACTTCAGCCCCACTGAACTCTCCTTTGCCCCCACCTTTCCCAATCACTTACGGAGTTTTCACTCAATATTTTCCTATCAGATATCAGTCTACAAGGCTGACAGACAACACCACTTCATAAAACGTTAATGAGATAAAAACAAAGGCTCTGGAAGCTGTACACGCAAGCATACCAGTCAGCAAATAGGAAATGGAAATGAAACCCTTTGCCAGGCTCTCAAGTGGGTGCTACAGATGGAAAATGAAAAGAAAGAAAAGCCAGATGCAACCGCTTTCAAATTGAAATATTTCTATGTGGATAAATACAACACTGGAAAATACAAGTGCCTTTCAAACTGTGAGTTCTCTCTCTTAAAAAGAAATATAATATTCGTATTTGTCTTACTAAGAGAAGTTTCTCTAAGTAAAATCCATGCAAAAATAAAAGAGAATGCTTTAATGCTCTTGGTGCAGCAGATCAGCTATATATGAAGAGAACACAAGACCATGAAAAATGAAAGGTCTAGTCTCTACATTGATTTATTTCAAAGAAGTATGGTTTCAAAGAAGCACGAAGCACATAAAAAAAGTTACATTAAAGAAAAAAAGCAGGTTCTTCCTTATTTCAGAGGAAACTAGGCCAGGCATATCTTCAAAGTCTTTACGACATGACCCACGCTCATTTAATGAAGTTTTATCCAAATCATATCCATAAGGAAGCATATTAAAGAATTAATTTAAAAAAAAGGCAAAAAATGAATGAAAAAAATTACAGGACACCAAGTGGTGGGCAGAATCTTCTCATAAAGGAGCAGGCCCTCTCCCAAATCACAGCACACCACTTACGAACAATGGAGGTATTTAGCAGAGGTCACAGGCAACTGCAGAAGTTTGCTTTTTGGCTCGGAAGACACCAAGAATGAAGTGTCCATTACTTTGCAAAGCCTTCGTTTGGAAAGATACGCCTAGGGGCAGATACAAGTCAGTGGATACTACAGAGATGGCTGAGGGATAGGTTCACAGAATCACCAAGGTTGGAAAAGACCTTCAAGATCATCCAGTCCAACCATCCATCCATCACCAACAGTTCTCACTAAACCATGTCCCCCAACACAACATCCAAACGTTCCTTGAATACCTCCAGGGTTGGTGACTCCACCACCTTCCTGGGCAGCCCATTCCAGTGCCTGACCACTCTTTCAGAGAAGTGGTTATTTCCTAACATCCAGCCTAAATCTCCCCTGGCGCAGTTGAAGCCATTCCCTCTAATTCTATCACCAGTTACATGAGAGAAGAAGCCAACCCTCAGCTCACTACAACCTCCCGTCAGGTAGTTATAGAGAGCAATAAAGTCTCCCCTGAGCCTTTCTTCTCCGGACTTAACAATCCCAGCTCCTTCAGGTGCTTCAGGTTATATCATCATGAAGTCTACAGCAAGAAATGAAAACAATACATACATTCAATAGAAACAGATGCCCCATCCCTGGAGGTGTTCAAGGCCAGATTGGATGGGGCCCTGGGCAGCCTGGTCAGGTATTAAATGAAGAGGTTGGTGGCCCTGCCTGTGGTGGGGTGGGGGGGGAGGAGGGGGTTGGAGCTTCATGATCCTTGAGGTCCCTTCCAACCCATTCTGTGATTCTGTGAAATGCTCCCTCATCTCTAAGCCAGGCAGTAAGGTGTTATACAAACAGAACCGCACACCCACACTCTGCTGCCACACTTACACAGCTCCCCAGTGTCTGCTGGCAGTGCCAATTCTGCTACAGCTTTGAGAAACGAGAAAATGCAGCTTCTATTACCAGAGTGATGCCGCTGCCTGGAAAAGCATTCAGAACGTTCCATGCTTTTTTCCGCCATAACGTCTCTTAGTAACAACTTCAGGCTCCCACACAACGCAACCGGACTGCAACTTTAAACCCTCCATATTGTTTTGCTTTCCATAACTCGCTGCGAGCTGCCACCGCCACAGAAGAGGGTTTCACTTTCGGACAGCTTCAATCCGCACACAGCCGAGTCAGCCCCGCCTGGAGCCGGACGAGCCCCGAGCCGGCTGCTCGCCCCGCACCTGCCCGCTACCGCTCCTCGGGGCCTCTCCGCAACCTGCATCCCCACTTCACCTCACCTGACCCCACTTCCCGCCGCCAGGGCTCACCGCTCTGAAGGCGACGTACACCGGCGAGGCTCCGGCTGCCGCTCTCCCCTCACGCGCCGCTCCCGCCCCGACGGGCCGCGGGAAGCCCGGCAGGCTCAGCAGCCACCGTCACCACCGCCACGCTCAGTCTCGCTCTCTCACCCGCTTCTTCCACTGCGCTCGCGACCCCACCAACAGCCAATCCGCGGCCGCGCCGGCACCCTCCCGACCAATAGCCGGTCGGCCTGAGGGGAGGCGGGACCTCAGCCGCCCTTCGGCAGCCTCTCGAGCGACCTTACCCGGCAGCCACCGCGCCCGACCGTGTCCGCCGGGCACGTGACCGGCCTCCGCCAATAAGAGGCGGCCCTGGAGAAGCTGCCGTTGGCTGCGTAGTTCGGCTACTGCTTTGCAGGGGGTGCTGGGTGATTTGGGGAGCGGTGGCCTGAGCCGCTTATCGGTAACCTAATGGTGCCGCTGTAGGGAGCTCTCAGTCTGGCTGGGGCGCGCGTCTTATTTCTGATACTGAAAGAATTCTGCTGCTGAAAGCTTTGCTACCGCACGCGGGATGCGTAGGGCGAGCGCCTGAGAACTCAAAGCTCAAATGTGGTGAGGTGGGACAACAGAATCTCAAAACAAAAGCTCCACGGTTCCGGAGGAAAAAAAGTCTGCCTAGTAAATAAGATTAAAATCTGCTCATTTTAAAATAAATGTACCTGTCTAATTCTTTTGGACGAGGGATTAACTGCTTTGGGCTTAGCAAGGTGCTGCACACATCTGCCCACGCGCTGAAAGCCTGCCGTGCTGCGATCTCTGGACTGCAGTCCCCGGCGTGCCTTGCGGCGCAGCCGCCGGCCAATCCCGCCTCACCGGCAACAAGACGCGCCGTGATTGGCGGGGAGGCGCGGGCGGCGCCGCACCAATCGCGTTGCGGCGCGGAGGGATGTGTGCGGTCGGAGCGGGCCCGGTGGCGGTGCGGGAGAGGTGCGGGTTGTGTCCCTGTTCCGTCCTGTGCCCTCCGCGGGCGATGGGGGCCTGAGGTTGGGTTGTGTCGGTCTGGAGACGACTTGTTCAGCGGTACGAGGCTGGGAAGAGTGCAGGCCGCTCTGGGGGATGGGAGTGGGAGCGGCAGAAGCTGGGGAGGGAGAGGCGGGCTGGCCGGGAGGGAGGTGCGGCCAAGGGGCTCCTGTCTTTTGTCATCGGCCACGGGACTCGCGTCAGCCTGGGCTCCCGGGTGTCATTATGTTGGTGGTGGTGGTGACGAAGCTGGGAGCTTCGGTTTTGTCCTCGGTTGCGACTGAGGAGACAGAAAGGTTTGGGAAGAAAAGAGTGTGACTTGATGGGGTAGGGTAAAACAGCTTCGTGTGTATTCAGGAGATCAGAAGAAAAGACGACAAGGGCTGATAGGGATGAAGAGAGCTGTAGAAGGGATTTGGTGCTCAGGACACAACTGGAAGTCAGAGGCTTTTGTTAACGTTAACTCCACAACTAATTTCATTTTTAGGCTTTGAGTAAGCTTTGTCGATGAGCTAAGGAGTATACTGAATAATACTGAACTTTGCAGAGACTTTTTACCAATTTAGAGCAATCTACTTTGAGAGTATAAAGTATTAACTGCGGCATGTAATTCCCGATGGATCTCTTTAGGACTTAGGACAGTCAAAGGAAAGAATATGGAGGGTAATCATTGATTTTTCACATTAGCGTTTCCTTTCCTGAAGGATGTGCAGGTTGGTGGCCCTGCCTCTGGGGGTTGGAGATTCATGAGCCTTGAGGTCCCTTCCAGCCTGGGACATTCTGTGATTCTGTGTGAAGAACCAGTGACAGAAATTAGCAGATTTTTTATTTTTTAAATATGAAAATGTCACAAACTATTGGACATTTCTACACATGCATCTACCATCAGTAAGAGAACAATCTAATGTTTGAATTATATTATTTGTTTGGGAAATAATGGTAAAAGAATGTTACCAGTTACAAATTTAAATATATTATGCAGGGGGAAAAAGGATGCAAGTTGACAATATGTCATTATTCATGCTTTTGTGCCTTAAAAAAAAAAGTTACTTACATGAGTTTCTGTTGTCAGCACCATGACTGCAACTAGCATTCAGTAGTTTTGGAAGCATACAGCAAGGCTTTTGAAGCGATCATAGAATAGTTTGGGTTGGAAGGGATGTTACAGATCATCCAGTTCCAATCACAGAGCCCTGGGCAGGGCTGCCACCCACCAGCTGAGGCTGCCCAAGGCCCCATCCAATGTGGCCTTGAACACTTCCAGGGATGGGGCATCCACAACCACGCTGGGCAGCCTGTGCCAGTGTCTCACCACCCTCTGAGGGAAGAATTTCTTTCTGACGTCTAACCTGAATCTCCGTTCTTTTAGTTTAAAGCCATTCCCCCTCATTCTCTCACTATCATGATGCAGACCTTCTCTTTTATCTAAGCTTATGCTTCTGTGCCTGTTAAGTAGTTATTTCTCATTAAAACAACTCTGGGATCAGATACTAAAACTAAAACACGTCTCATCTGAAATAGGTTGGCTTGCGCTTTGGTTGAAGCAAGGTGTGACCTGTATTTTTTTTTTTTTTCTTTATTGAAAGCAAACTAGTCAAAAAACCCACAACATCTTTAAATGTTTTTTAGCTTTGAATGAATATGGCATTACACTAGTTATTTAGGGAATAGATAAAATCAAAACATAGTATTCATTGTGCTTGATGCTGAGTTAATCCTTTGCTGGCTTATGTAGTTCATTTTTATGTGAAATTTGATTATTGCTAAAGGCACTGAAAATTCAGGTTTTGATTTTACGTGTTTATACAAAAGGATGTTTTTAGACTTACAGTCTGCAAACTGGGTGTGAGAAAACTGGAGTTTTTGATCATTTTTATCAGTGAATAAGTAAAGACACTTACGTACTGTTATACATATCCATACATATACTGCTGTAAAGGCTGACCAGTCTAAAATTATTGAAAGGAAACGAGAAAATGTTATTAACCAAACCCTATCTGCTTTCTGCAGAGGAAATTAAAGTTTCCAGCTGAAGAGTTCTAAAATCCATATCCTTACGAATTTTGTTCCTTGAGGCTTTTTTTTGTACTCTTATGCCTGTAACAAATCAGTGCATTTGTGTTCTTGCCTTTTCTCTGCTTTAATTGATAGTAAACATTAATGCCGCATTTTTTTTTTTCAACAGGTATTTTGTATGTGTGGCGTAGGAAAAAATGAATTCCACTATGAGTGAGGAGCCTGATGCACTATCTGTAGTTAATCAACTCCGAGATCTAGCAGCTGATCCTTTGAATAGGAGAGCCATTGTTCAGGATCAAGGATGCCTGCCAGGTCTGATTCTGTTTTTGGACCATCCCAGCCCTCCAGTGGTTCATTCAGCTTTATTAGTAAGTATTCCAGAGATAAGTTTGTATGTCATTGGGACTCTTTGTTCCTTTGTTTCTGTGTCTTTACACAAGTAATGTAAAAGATAAAGCCTGTTCTTATGTTAAATCACAATTCATTTTCACTTTTTTAAAAGAAGCACACAATTCAAAAATTGTATAGCAATGTAGCATTATTCCAGGGCAATTCACAGTTCTTGGAAGAGATTAAATTGCTTTGCATTTTTTCCCTAATACAGCCATTTCACTTTCATTGTGGAAGGAGGTAAGCACGCTTAAATCTTTTTTTTTTTTTCAGATGAAGCCCTGGAGCTTGGTAAATGTACACAGTGATTTGAAATTCATGTAAAAAAAAGGATCATATATCATAGGGCAGTTTTGGTTAGAGATGATTTCCCAAGATCATGTAGTCTAATCCTGTGGTCAAGCTGAGACAAATTAGAAAACGGTGCAGGATTATGTTTGTTTAGATGCTCTGCAGCATCTCAGGCACCCTGTTCCAGCATTTGCCCACCCTCATGTGATTTTTAAAACAAAAAAATCAAAATCTGTTGATGTCTAATCCAACTTTTTTCTCTTCATTTCTTCTCTTTTGAAGTCATAAACACCAAAGTCCCGATTTCTCATCCTAAATCCAAATTTTAAGAAGTGCATCTCTTTCATAGAAATAGGACAAACAAAAATGAAGATTTCCTTAGAACCCTAATTCAATTCTTCCAGTAAGATTTTTAAGTTATTAAAAGCTGTTATACTCTCGTTTCATATTGTTTCTTCCTTTTTTTTTTAAATGTCATTGAATTATAAGCAGAGTTCTGACTTTTGCATTAAATTCTACATGATTTTTTGTACTATTAATGTTTAGTCCGTATCATAGTTCTGTGTATTTTTTTCATTTGTTTTACTTCCACAAGGAATATTTGTGAATTTCTTGGAATGACTCCAGTACTCTTCGGGGCACAGGGAACAACATCCCATAATCCAGGAGATGTGTATCCTGCTAATTGGCCTTCAGACTAGCTTTGCCACAGCATTTGCCAAACTAAATGTTCTTCACTGGATGACTTTTGAGTTGAGATTACCATTCTTGAGAATACATTGCACTGTTTTTCATTCTGGTGTATGTTCCTTAGGTCATGGAGGGTTTTGTTTGTATGTCTCTCTCCCTGTTCCTTCCTTTGCTTTTTTGGGCTGCATATTCTCAAGCCTGCATGAAACTTAGTAATCATTCTGTGATCATATTGCAAAATTTAACCCTACATTAAAAGAACTGAATTTACCAGATCAGTGAAGGGTAATCCAGTGTGCGGTATGATTCCACAAACCCAGATATTATTGAAGTTTTGTGGTAAAGACATCTTGTTGGGTAAGAGACAGCTGTGTTGTTTTATTTAGTGGCAGCCCACAGGTAGAGTGAATTAAGGGGCAGGATTTAGAGGAGACCCTGACTGTAGTCAGAAATGGAGCAGTTTGCTACGAAAACAAATTTTTGTCTGCTACCCAA